CGGCGACATCTGCAGGAGATGACCAAGATGGCCAGCCGCCCTTTTGCCAAGGTCACGGTCTGCTTCCCGCCCGACCCAGCCGTTAGCGTCCCCTGGAAAACGAGTGGCGTGGGCCTCCCAGCCCCTGCCTTCCGCCGCTCGGAGCCTTTCCTGGCCCCGCTGCTGTTGACTGGGAGTGGGGGGCCGTGGGGAGCCGGCAGTGGGGGCTGCTGCCCTGTGGCCCTGAGGGCCGGGCCCATCACGCTGGAGCCCACAGAGGACGGCATGGCAGGGGTTGCCACACTCCTGCTGCAGCTGCCTGGTGGCATCTACACCCCGAATAGGGCCTGCCTGGGCTCCGCCCTGGTCACCCTGCGGCACCGGCTGCAGGAGTACTGTGGTGGTGGCAGTGGACCTGGGGCCAGTGGGCACGGGGCAGGGGGTGGGAGGAAGGGACTGCTGACTCATGACAACCTCACCAGCATGTCGCTCTGAGGGCCTGGGGGTGGGGAGGGTCACCCAGCCCCTGCTCCCTGCCCCTCGGCCCCCGACAAAAACCCAGCCTGTCCCTAGTGGCCGGGCTTTCCACAGACCCTCGACTCATCTTTGGTTTGCTGACACCCTTCCCGTCAGCCCTCGTTTGGACTCCGGGCTGTACCGTGTCAGGCCTCTCTGAGGAGCTGTGCCCTGGGCTCCAGGGCACGTTTCCTCTCTCAAGGCAGCCTTCCTTTGGGCCCCCACCCAACATCTTGAGTCTGTCACCTCTGAGCCTGGCATAGTGACCTAGCGTGACTGGCCCCAGGGCCTCCCTGGGGTCTCCCAAGCCACCGCCTCGGCTCCCTTGGAAGCCCCTCAGCTTTTCACAGCGTTTCAGACGTGGGTCCTCCATGAACAAACCGTTTAGTCCAACCCTGCCCTAGCATGGGGGCCTCACTACCTCTTGAGGCAGGCCATTTCTGACATCAGGCCCGTTTGGCCCCTTGCGCCTCTCCCCATTGCTCCTGGTTCTGCCCTCTCTGGCCCAGAGGGACTCCTTTTGCCCCTCTATTGCAGCACGGCCCTGCAGGTACATCGAAATAGCACTCGTGGGTGTCCTGCAGCTCTCACCTTCAGCCTGTCCTCTGGAGGCACACACTCTCCATTCAGTTGGCCCTCTTTATCCACCTCCTTCCTGAGACGTGTGCACCCCGGGGTGGCCTCCCTAGCACTCCTCCTCGTGGTCCAGGAAGCGCAGCCCGTGGCGGGGGAGGGGGGCCGTGTCACAGCATTGGCTCACGCTGAGCTTGCTGACCCAGCTGGGCCTTCACCCGCCTCACGACGTTGTCTCTTTGAAGCCAGGCGTTGGCCCAGTGGGATATCTCCTATCGAGGCTTTTTGGGAGCTGTTGTCCCACATGTAGGGAGCGGTTCCCGGCTGTGAGGGTGTCACATGCTTTCATCCAAGTCATCACTCAAAGTGGTCAGTGGCCTAAGGCCAGCCATGGTCTCCAGGGGGCTCCTCCACAGGCTCCTCTGTCTCCCCCCACCCCCTTGCCAGCATCCCAGCCAGCAAACTCATCTCTTCTGGGGGGAACCTTCTGATTCGAGGTGGATGGCCAGTGACTGAAGTCACTGCCCCCACAGGTCTCTGGTTGGAGGCTGGACGTTCAAGGGAACTCTCGCTCATCGACAGCTTGGCCTAGACAGCCTTTGGAGCCCCTTTCTAGTCTTAGCAAGCCTTTCAGCCCCCTAGCTGCCGAGATGGCAGTCGAGGCGATCCTCAGAAAGTACTTAGCACAGTGCCTAGCACATAGCAGAAATGCTTCTTCCTTGCCCTTCCCAACCAGTGGCTTCGGTGAACTCCCCACCCTCCCTGGTTCCTGTGTCCTTTAACGCAGCACTACAGGACCTGTCTCTTTTCTCCCAAATCCTACTTGTCCTTTCCTTCCTACTCCTGACCCCCCCCCCCCCGTTTCTGAATCCCTCACCCTTTCTCATCTTTTCCTCCAGGGCTTTGGATACCGTTCATTCCCTGTAGCTCACTGCCTGCCCTCCCCCCCCAAGGTCAGAGGATTTGGACAGCTTCCCTCTTGTGGGCAGGAAGGAGGTTACTGGACTGCTTTGTATGGGAGGGGGAAACCTTAAATCACTAAATAAAACATTTTCAGGGGATCCAGTTGTCTGGTTGCTGTATAGAGATGTGGGGGAGAATCTGGGACCTTCGGCCAGTGCTGTTATGCAGACACCCCCCCCCCCATTCTGTCCTCCATTTCCAGTCCATCCCTGCCCCATTACATGCATCCTGGCTCCTGGCCATGGGTTCTCTCCTATAGCCAGTTTGGGGATCCTGTGATTCCTCCGTGACCTCCAATTCCTCGGAGCCTGGTGATGACTTTGGGATTCATGCATGTGGTTTTCTGTCTCCAGGCTGGGATGTGGGCAAGGAAGGGCTGTGAGATCTTCACCTGCTGCTCCATAAGCCAGCTCGGCCAAGTGTGTTTGCTTCTCTGGGCCAAGAAAGGCCTGCCTTCCCTTTGTTTTCTTCCTTGGTCCTCTTTGAGAACAGAGGATTGATGACAGCAACATGTGGAGGTTGCACTCCGTTCCACATTCTAGGAGGCCCCCGCCTTGTCCTAATCAGGAGTATAGAATTTACTTCTCTGCCTTTGAGGGCATATGAGGCATATGTTTGATCCCTTAAATTAGAGACTGGGCTGGGCCCAGCAGGAGAAGGTGGAGGAACCAGTGAGACTAGAGTGCAGATCCTGCCTCTCCCTCCCAGGGGCCCTTCAACAGTGAACTGAGGGACCTTCAGACTTAGCCCAGGGGGGACCCAGACTAAGGAGGGAGGAGCCTTGGCACTAGGCCTGAGACTGGGCGTCCAGCTGAGGCTTCTTTTGTGGAGTGGGTGCGGCAGGGCCCATCCCTCCTGTTACTCAAGTGACTTTCTGTTCTTCTGGTCTCCCGGTGACTGTCTTCTCTGCCTCCTTGCATCACCAAATAAGCAAACGTTTAGTAAGCACCTACTGCGTGCCACACAATGTGAATTGCATTTTGTCATTTTATAGTTGAAGCTGAGGCAGGTGGAGGTTCGTTGTCTTGCCCAGGGTCGCACAGCTGTCTGAGGCTGTATTTGAGCTCAGGTCTTCCTGACTCCAGATCCAGTGTGCTGTGCACTGGGCCACCTGACTGGTATCGTCTGTGTATCTGATGGTGTCTAGGAGCTCAAAAAAGAGTTCCAGGAGTGCAGATCCAAGACCTGGAAGGGCTTGAGGGACCATGGAGCCCAAGCCACTCATTTTAGCAATGAAGAAACAGGCCCGTGAAGGTGAAGAGACTCACCCTGTTTACACGGTAAGTGGCAGAGTTGGGGTTCCAATCCAAATCCATGTCTATTTGTCCGTCTGATCCACTGAGTGCACTGTGTTTTCTGCTCCAAGAATTCTCCCAGTCATGTCCCTTCTGGGCTCTCAGGTCAGCTATATAGAATCCTATCCCTATGTCATGCAGGTATTCCCGTCCTACTTCACAGAGGAGGAAGTCAAGGCTCAGGGATGAGAGCTGCTCATCATCTCTGAGCCGGCGACCTCAGTGTTGGTGCTGGGCTTTGAACCTGGGTATCCTAACCCCACTTCCAGGGCTCGGTCACCCTCCACCATACTCCTCACTGCCAGCGGCTCCTTTCAGTGTGAGTGTTCTAGCTCTGCTCTGGCCTGCTGTGTGCTCAGGTTCAGATGTCAGAGGTGGGGCCCGGATGTCTCAAGGAACGTTCCCAGAAGTAAAGAACCCGAAGGGAACTCAGAGGCCGGCTCGTCTGGTCTCCACCTGCCTAGGAACCTCCTCCATACCACGCTCAACATGAAGTCCTGCCTGGGTTGGAGCAGCTAGATCCGTCCTCTCTCCCCACCCCTCTTCCAGAAGTCCCAACCTCCTCTGGGCCTGCTCTGATTGTTGGAAAATGCCAGCAGGAGTGGATCAGTACGGGAGAAGATCGGTGAGAGCGAAATAGGAGATGAAGTGTTTGGACTGGCTGGGGGTCTAGATCGCAATGTCTCCATGAGAGCTGGCATTGGAAGTCACTGGTGACGCAGAGCCTCCCGAGGTAAGTCCAAATTGACCACAAGTTCTGATCAAGCCCCCATGACATTTAGATGGTTATTTTTCATACAAGCTCATCAAATAAATCAGGGCTACCTCCCTTACACAAATTAGATCCCCAGAGCTTATTACACTGTTGCGCAAACAGTAAGTGCTTACTGCTTTTTTAAATTCATTCAGTGTGTGCTCAGTTAACATCACAGGAACCCTGTGAGCTGGGTACCCCTGGGAAAATGGCAGCTTACAGAGGTTGTGGTAACCCATAAGTGTAACTTGTAAGTGTAAAGAGTCAGGACTTGAACCCAGGTCTCCCTGACATTAATCAGCAGATGGGTGTTCATAGGAAGTTGCCTTCCTGTGAAAGGGAACCAGGATGGCAGAGGGGCCTTTGTGCCTGTTACACAGGGACTAGTTGAAGGTACTGGGAATGTTTAGCCTGGAGAAGAGAGAGCTCAGGAGGGACACGCCAGCAGTCTGCAAGTATTTGAAGAGCTGTGCTATGCAGGAGAGGGTCAAGTTTGTCCTCTGGTCACAAAGGGCAGAAAAAAAAAAGCTAATAGCAGATGCTGTCCCACAGTGGAACTGGCTGCCTCGACATCTGAGGCTCTCCAGAGGTCTTCAAGCCAAAGCAGACCTCACCTGCTGGGCGCGGAGTAGAGAGAATTCTCATTCAGGCAAAGACTGGGCTGGCTGGTGGCTGAGGGCTCTCCCGGCTCTCAGGTACTGAGCTTTGTCCTCAAAGCCCAGGGACCTCTCAGGAACTACGGATGGGGGGAGAGAAGCCGAGACCCAGAGAAGCGCAGAGATTCACCCTAGGTCACGCAGCTCAACCTTGGTCTCCTGGCTCCTTCCCAGGCTTAGCCTAGCCTTACCGCCTCACTTGCGATTTCTAGCGCTTTCGCATTTCCCAGACCACTCGGACACAGCTTTGGGTTTCTGATTTTATTGGCAGGGGGAGGGGGAAGGAAATGGAGGGTCAGAAGGAATAAGTGGGCGGGGCTGGGGCGGGTCCTCACTGTCTGATCTTCAGCTCCCGAGCCATCTGGCAGAGCGCACAAGGCAGGCAGAAGGTGAGCGCTGCCCAGTCGTTTCCAACAGAGCCCTGTCGGGGGAAAGGTAGAGGGGTCAGGGAGGTACTGAAGATCTGGGGGCCCCAGTTATCCTGGTCGCAAGGCCTCGGTCCCCTCCCCGGGTGCTCAGGCTCCGCTCCCTTCCCCGGAACTTCGCAGCCTCCTCACCAAAATGTGATAGCGCTCTCTCATGCCAGTGCGGAGGGAGTGGAGACCACCAGGCAGGTAGGGCGCACAGCAGCACTCCCCGAAATCATCAGCGATGCGGCAGGCCAGGCACAGGGGGGCGAAGGTGCCGCACAGACCTGCGGGGTAGGAGAGGGAGAGGTCAGAGAGACCCCCCAAGCCCGAAGGAAGCCGTTCCTTTCCTCTCCTCTCCTCTCCTCTCCTCTCCTCTCCTCTCCTCTCCTCTCCTCTCCTCTCCTCTCCTCTCCTCTCCTCTCCTCTCCTCTCCTCTCCTCTCCTCACCCCTCCCCCTCCTTCTTCGTCTCTGTGTCTGTTTCTGTCCCTGCCCCCCCCCAATGGGGTTAGACTGGATAATCTCTAACTCTAACATTCTATTTTAGGGCACTTCCTAGTTCTGACATTCTATGGTCTAGGTTCTAAGAAGCCTCCCATCTTTGATATTCTAAGCTGTAAAGTCCTCAGTTCTAACAGCGTTCTCTCTTCTGAGATCCTTCGCAGCTCTGATATTCCCTGATCTAGGGGCCCTCCCGGCTCTGAGTTCTAGGTGATTGAGCCTGTAGCCAGAGGAGGGATGCTGGGGCAGGCCGGGGCACACTCACACACGGGCATATCATTGCAGCAGTCTGTGAGTTCTGTGTGCCAGTCACTTTGCTGGGTCTGGTAGCAGGTGCTCTGGCTTTGGGGCTGGCTGGTCACAGGGTAAGACATAGCTGGGGAGAGCAAGGGAAGAGACAAGGTTAAACGAGGGTGCTTCGAGGTTTGGGTTCCTTCCTTCCTCTCACCACAGCTCCCCCCTCCCTCTCTGGCAAATCTGGGCAGCTCCAGCAGCTGGAGGGGGGAGGGGAGCTGGAGAAGGGCAGCCCCCTCCCTCTTCTGGGAGGGGGTTCCTCATCTGCATTTGGAGTCGCATCTGGGTGGGGTCTGGGGTCTCCCTCCCCCTCCCAGGCTCTGGCTTTCTGCAGCTGGGGAGCGTGGGTCCTTCTGCACATCTGGATAGCCGGTGCCCCTTGCACATCTGCTGGGGAGGATGTCTGATGGCACTTCCTGCAGGCGGTTCCAGGGAAACTCTCCCTCCCAGTAGAGAGGATGGGAGCTCAGGGAAATGGGGGCCTCCTCTTGCAGATCTGGGGTCAAGGGGCGTCTTGCGCGTCTGGGCCGAGGGCCACATCTGGGAGGAGGGAAGGAGCAGGTGGTCCTCCTCCACATCTGGGGGCCAGGCCGGCTTCTTGGCGGTGTCCGCGCGACCCCGGGCAGGGGGAGGGGAGGGGGAGCAGATGGGGGAGGGGTCTCTCAGGCGAGCGCACCTTTGCCCTTCACGTTGTCATGCATCTCGAACTGCATCCTTTCGGAGATGGTGCGGGCCGAGGCGGAGAGGAAGCGCTGAGTAGCTGGTTCCGGGGGGCACCTGGAGACTAGGTGGTGGGGGTGGGGCGGGGGCAAGGGCACTGGAGTAAGGGGAGGGACTGCGGCAGGTGGAGGGGGCGCTGGGGAGGGAGAAAGAGGCCGGGTCAGAGCCCCCCTCATTCTTTCCCGCTTCCTCCAGTGAAGCTCTTGGTACCAGGATTCATCCATTAGGGTCCTGAGAATCTCCATCCCCCATCCCCAGGCCTCAAGACTGAAGTATCATTGAAGTGTAAGCTAAGTTGGACGGAGATGCCCAGGAATGGTCAGTGCCAGAGAGAAACACAGACATTCAGCAATAAAAAGAGAAAAATCCCAATACAACCGAAGACTGAGAAATCTGCAAAGATACAGCCCAGCCAAGAGAAAAAGCTGCTCAGAAACTCGGAGCTGCAGAATGGAGAAAGCTGCCGATACCTGAAGTGGAGACCAGTCTTCCGAGGAAGACTGGATAAAGCCAGAGACTGAGGACTTTGCCACACCCAGAACCCCGTGGCTTGCACGGAGACATCGAGGCAGAGTAGCAGAAACACTCACTGAGAGAGAAAAAAGAGAGACAGAGGTACCCAGAGATGAGGGAGAGATAGAGACACCTAGAATTATGGGATAGAGCTAGAATGTCAATGAGATAGACAGTCGTGGAGAGATGCTAGGGAAGACCCAGGAAAAGAGATGGGTAGACAAGTCTACCAGGAGTCTGAAAGATCTGTGTAGAGACAGCTGAGGAGAAAGAACAGCTAGGGGCAGACCCCCAGAATGCCAAGAGACAGCCAGGGGTAAGGGAGAGACCCTGAGAGAAAGCCCAAAGAGATACAGGAGAAGGGGCTGCAAAGTCCAAGAGGAAGCCACAGGAGCCCCTTTGGGCCAGGAAGCAGATGCCAGAGGCAGGGGGCTGCCTGGGCTGGGTGGGACTCCTTCCTACCTGGGGAGCACTGGGCGGGACGCTGGGGCTCTTGGGTTGAGTAGCACTGGGGTTGGCTCTGGCCTCGTCACTCCGTGCCTGACTCTCTCTGGCTGTGCCTTCTCATCCGGAGCAGGTCTTATATGGGGCAGCCAGGCAGCAAGGGGTGGGGCAGTACCGTGCCACAAGGGGAAGGAAGCACTTGGAGTCAGGCTTAGATGGGAGTCCCCTCCCCCCATTCCCTCTAGGGCATCCCTGCTGGCCAGCTCATCTGGGGGGAGCCCCAGGACAGATATGGGGATCACTGAGATAAAGAGACCTGGTAGACTGAGGTACACAGGGACAGAAATGAGGAGATGGGGAAACAGAGGTAGAGATGATCAGAGACACAGACAGAAGCAATGGCTTCTGGATTCTGCAGTCTTTTTAAGGTGTACGAAGCGCTTCCCTACCACAACCCTGCAAAGTACATGGTGGATATAATATTAGCCCCATTTTACAAATAAGGCAAATGGAGGTTTTTTTTAGAGCCCATAAATAGCTGACCAGGGACTTGAATCCCTGGTCTTCTGAGGCTCAGGGCCCTCCCCCAACTCTCAAGAGATAAACAAGGACAAATAGAAGAAAAGAGTGGGCACAGGCTGGAAATGGAACCTGGTATTTACTACCTGTGTCATTAAGGGCACGGCCCATTCTCTTCTTGGGCCTCAGTTTCCCCATATGAAAATGAGAAGGTTGAACACAGTGATCCCCCAGGTTCCCTCTAGAGCTACATCTTATGATCCTAAGGGGCAATAAAGTGTGCAGAGACCGAGATGGAGGCAGAAACAGGAGTAGGGGGGAGAGAGACAGAGAGAGACACAGAGAGAGAGAGGCAGAAACAGAGAGCTGAGACAGACAGAGAGAGAGAGAGAGAGAGAGAGAGAGAGAGAGAGAGAGAGAGAGGCAGAGACAGAGAGCTAAGAGAGACAGAGATGGAGAGATAGAGAGAGACATACACACAGAGAGTGAGAGACAGAGACATAGAGCCAGAGAGACCTAGAGAGACAGAGACAGAGAGATACACACAGAATGAGAGAGGCAGAGATAGAGACAGAGAGGCAGAGACACACACAGACACAGAGAGAGACAGACACAGAGACAGAGAAAGAGAGGCAGAGGAGAGACAGACAGAAACAGACAGAAATAGAGACAGAAAAACAAGAGAAAGAAAAAGAGAATAAAGAGCAAGAAAAGAGAAAGAGGAGGGGAAAGTAGAAGAAGAGGTGCAGGAGGGGTAAAGAGAAACAGAAACAAGAAGGGGATGGATGGAATAAGCATTTATTAAGCACCTACTATGTGCCAGGCTCTGTGCTAAGCACTTTTACAAATATTATCTCATTTGATCTTCAACAATTCTGGGAGGTAGATGCTATTATTATCCTCATTTTACAGTTGAGGAAACTGAGGCAGGCAGTGGTTAAGTGACATGGCCAGGGTCATACAGCTCATAAGCGTCTGAGGCTGCATATGATCTCAAGTCTTCTGCATTCCAGGCCCAGAGCTCTGTCCACTGCTCCACCAGGGATGAGGCTGTCTCTGAATTTCTCTGACTGTAGTTTAGAGTTGGGGAAACGAGGTACAGTAGGAAGGAGGCAAGGAGAGAGAGCAAGGTTGTGTAGGTGTGTGTGGGGGACATTAGGGGGCCCTTAAAGTGCCTCCTGGTTCTTTACTCCACCTGTCCCCCTGATCCTATCCACTATGGAAGGTCCAGTTGAGGAGGGGGGAGTGGAATGAGGTCAGAGGGGAGAGGCTGTGGGGGTGATACGCCCTCCAAACCAGAAATAAACATGCCCTCCCCAGCACCAAACCCAGAAGGTAGTTGGCTGAGGGGCAGGACCCCAGGGTCCTTTCTGGGAAAAGACTGAGGGTCCAGAAAGCTAGGTTCTCCAAGGACCCTCCTTGAGGCTTAGCCCTGACCCTAACAAGCTCTGCAGGACTTGGGGGGGGTGACTCAGTCAGGGAAGCAGCGTCAGGACTGGGTGAGGTCCCTAGGGTGGGTGTCACCCCCAGAAATGCTGGAGCCACCAGAAAAGTGGGGAGTCACCCATCAGGGAGAAGGCGCTGTCACTTGGCAGGCAGGGTTGGGCAGGGATGGGGTGATGTTGCTGGCCTAGGTGGGGCCAGGCATCTAGGGCTCTAGTCCCCACCCCTTCAGGGACCCAGCATCCTGATCTCCAGATCTCTAGGTAACTTTTAGCCTTCCATCTACCTCCCAGGGTTGTTGTGAGATCAAATGAGATAACAATTGTAAATGGCTTCGCACAGTGCTTGGCATACAGTAGGTGCTTAATAAATGCTTGCTTCCTTCCTGTATTTGTCTTAAGTGTTAATCTCTCTGAATCGCTGTGTCTCTTAGGGTCGGAAGGTTTAGTTCAGCTTCCTCGTGGCCATCCAGCCCTAGCCCTGCCTTGCTGACCGCATCCTCCGGGCAGCCTGGATGGGGAAAGCCTAGGGAATGAGCCAACAAGAGCCAGGAATGCCCTTGGCTTCCCCCACCTCTACCCTTCCCGAACACCCTGGGGGCACCAATTAGCCCCAGCTGGTGAGGAAACAGACTGACCCAGTGGTGAGGCGGCCGGGAAGGTATGAAAACTGAGGGATAGGTGGGGTCTTGGGGCTCAGATGCTTGCCCCCCACCCCAGCCCCTTTCCCTCGGTGACCCCGGCCCACACTCACCTAACCCACAGGGTGACCCACAGGGCTCAGAGGCCAGGGCCCCAGACCCCCTGGGTCCTTGATTGGGTTGGGGATGGGAGGCTGAGTAACTGGGGTTGCCCAATGGAGGTTGCTTTAGGCCGGCTCTCCTTGGGAAACCGGTCGAGCCAAGCAGACAGGACAGGGGACAGGTGGGGTGGCTCAGTACCCCCTTCCCTCCCCTTCCCAAACCGGCTGCTTCTTCCTGGCCTCACCCAGGACAGGGAATGAGAGACACCCGGGTGTGCCCTGAGAGACCGACTGTGTTTGGGTGTGGGGTCAGTGTGTGTGTTCGTGTGTCACTGTGTATCTCTGTATCAGTACGGGTGCACGCATGTGTGGCCAATGGTGTGACATATGATGTGTGTTCTTCCCTTATGCTTTGTGGAGGTCTCCCAGAACAGAAGCTCCCTGAGGGCAGGGGCTGTTTCGCTTCTGTCTCTGCACCTCCAGTGCCTGGCACGCAGTAGGCACTTCACGATTGCTTGTCCATTAATTGATCGTTAAGAGTCCACTCAAGGTGATGTCTTTGTTTTTTGGAGTCTGTGTGTGAGCCTCTCACTGTGAAGACCCTGCGGCTTCTGTGTGTCGTGTATGAGCTGAAAGAGCTTTGGTCTGGGAATCCTTCGGCTCAAATCCTTGCTCAGCAGCTGATTACCGAGTACCCTGGAACAAAACCCTTCCCCTTGGGCCTTCTAGCTCCGCTGTTCTTCGAGGTTCTGAGCACACCTCAGGGTGACGGTGTCAGGGGTGGGAGTGGGGTGTCTGGCACATTTCACTGGGTCTGTGCGCCTGCGTCTTTAACACTCTGAGCAGGGCTTTAGTGTCTCTGTCTCTGGGGTAACAAGGGAAAATGTGATATAACCCTGGGCACAGACTCAGAGGACCCGAATTTGAATTCAGATTTGCTTACCTTGAGGCCTCCTAAAGTCCCTTCTCATTCAATAAAATAAGCATTTATTTATTTATTTTTAGGCAGTTGGGGTTAAGTGACTTGCCCAGGGTCACACAGCTAGTATGTGTCAGGTGTTTGCATTTGAACTCAGGTCCTCCTGACTTCAGGGCCTGTGTTCTATCTACTGCACCACCTAGCTGCCCCCAAATAAGCATTTATTAAATGCTTACTGTGTGACAGGTTCTGTGCTGGGATGTTCTCACTGAGTGTCATAATGGAGCCGTGACCCCATTTGGGATTTTTTCAGCAGAGATCCTGGAGGGGTTGGCCATTTCCTTCTCCAGCTCATTTGACAGAGGAGGAAACTGAGGTGAATAGAGTGAAGTGACTTGCCCAGGGCCACACAGCCAGTAAGTATCTGAGGCTGGATTTGAACTCAGGTCCTCCTGACTCCAGGGCAGGAGCTCTATTGCCTAATATAAAGAATCTCCTTACCTCAGGGGGCTAATCTTCTCCTCCTCAGGGTCGGGATGGGGAATAGAGGGTGCCTAGCACTAATAACTTGTGGGGAAGGGGTAGTTAGGGAAAGCTTCTTGGAGGAGGTGGTACCTGTGCTGAGCCTCGAAGGAAGGTAAGGGGTTATGAGAAGTGGAAGTGAGGAGGAAATGGAACATTGCAGGCATATGGGACAGACAGCCTCTGTTCATCCTGGGTGTGTGTGTGTGTGTGTGTGTGTGTGTGTGTGTGTGTGTGTGTGTGTGTGTGTGTGTGTGTGTAGGGGCCAGCAGGGGACCTGGAAGTCAAACCTGAAGGGCTCCTCCCTTGCCCTGGAGGTGGCCCCTAGGAGTCATTCCTTCTTAGCCTCAGTTTCTCCCTAATGGGCATGACTGGATGGGTGGGGCTGGGAAGGAGGGAGGCACCCAGAGAAACCAAAAAGGGGGTGAAAGGGAGGACAGATGGAGGGAAGAGCAGAACAGAGTGTATGTCACACACACACACACACACACACACACACACACACACACACACACGGAGCACAAGATTTGGGAGGTGGAAGGGCTGGCTCCTTAGGCAGCATCTAGTCCCAACACCTTCCTTTTAGAGATGAGGGTCCCACGGATGCTGCCCTGGGTCGGCCTTGAACTCAGGTCTTCTGACTTCAGACCTGGCGCTCCCTCCATTCAGACATAATCGCTTCCTTTCCTCCTCTTCCCTACCTCCCCCCCCCACAGACACAACTGCACACACGTAGAGATGAACACACAAAATCAACCTCTGTTTGTCTCAGGTCCAGAGAGGGAGACATAGAGACCCTAAGGTGCGAAGGGAAATAGCCTAGGGTTGGCATTCAGACCCCCTGACTGATGTGTGATCTCAGGCAAGTACCTCCCTCTCTGCACCTCAGTTTCCCAGCTGTAAAACAGCTGAACCGGGTGACCCTGAATTCTACGACAATATGGCAGCTGAAACAGAAATACAGGGCCCCAAAAAGGTAGAGACAGAGATGCAGGAAGGGCCAGGGAGTGCCCCAACTCTCTCTGCCCCCCCAGCCAAAGACCTCAAGCTAGGGCCAGGGCAGGGGAGGAGGAAGACCCATTGCCAAAGCCCTCAGCATCTCCCCTGTGACTCACTCCCTTATCAACTCCTAATGGGCTAATGACCTACTTCCCTCCCCCCCACTCACACCCCCACAGGTCTTAATGACTATTTTCAGCCTCAGCTGGGCCCACACCTTCCCTCTGGCTCCTTGACCGGCCCGAGGCAGGTTCGACCTTGTGTCGGGGCACCAGGGCTGCCCCTCAGGAACACAGGCGTCCTGATCCCCCAGCTCCCACTGGTGGTGTTGACAGTGGTTGGTGCCAGGCATCTACGCTGGGTCCTCTCCAGGACCGCACCCGGGGGCAGCCGGCTGAGGAATGAGGTGGGACTGGTCCCCCCTGGCTGCTTTATCTGCCCTTGGTGACCCAGACCTGCCCCAGGAGGGAGAGTCTACTCCCAATGTGGCCCCCGCCCATTCCAGGCTCACTGGGGCCCTGCCATGGTGGTCGATTCCTCCCCCCTCCTGTCTCTGACCCACCAAGTACCACGCCAACGTCAGCCACCGTTGTCTTCCTCAGTTTTCCCTCAGCTCTTGTCCCTGGATTTCTGACGCCCTCTTTCCCTAACGGTGGGGGATGCTCTTGGTTGTGGCCTGGTTTCGGGCAGGCTCCATCCACTTTGTGCTCCCCTCAGGCCGTCTCTTTGTCCCTCTCATTCTTGGTTTCTTTCCCCTTCTCCACTCAGGACATGTGTGGACCCAGCTCCTTCCCAGGCTTTCCTGTGGTTTGGCTGCCCTGCCCTACAAATAGCTCCATGAAGCCCAGGGCCCAAATCCTGTCCCCTCCAGCCTGGGCATGTCTGTAGGATGCAGGCTTGAGGGTTTGCGGGTTTGTGGTCCCAGCCTCTGGCCCCCTCAGAACCCCACACAGGCACCCAGTAATCTGAACCATCCATCAGTCCTCCGGGCAGCCAGCCAGCCCAGGCGTTAGCATGCCCTGGTGGAAGGCCTGGGTACTGGGGGAAACCTTCCCCCAGGGTCCAGTCAGGAGAGGGGCTGGGGTGAATTCAATACATTTATTTACAAAAAGGTAGCAGAGGGCGAGGCAGCAGCAGCAGAAGGCAGTGGCTGGGGCTGGGAGGGAGCAGCTGGGGGGGCTCACAGTGAGTGGGGAAGCATGGGGGGGGCACGGGGCATCAGAGCTCCCTCCCTCCCCACTGGGTCTAAGGCACTCCATCCCCGAGTGGCAATGGGCTAACCATTACACTGGGGAAATGAAGGCCCAGAGGGGATGCAGATGGTGGCCTGGGAATCTGGGGACCTCTTACAATCTGCCATTCCAGGACCTCTCCGAGGCCCCCTGACAAGGCTAGGGGCAGAGCTGGCCCTAGGACGCTGAACTTCCTGATGCCTGGGCTGGGGTCAGATGGCTCCAGGACATGGAGGCACCAGACACGGGGGGGGGGGGGGGGGGGGGGCTTCTGGCCCCAGACTTACCTTTCTTGGGGACCCAGACCCGCCCCTTACAGGACTTAGAGCTGGGAGGGCTCCCGGAGGTCATCTGGCCCAACTCTCTCATTTTATTAAGGGGGAAACTGAGGCCCAGTAGGGAAGGCACTTGTGCCAGGCCACACGGATGGCCCCAGACCTGAATTCATTGCTCCTTCCACTGTGGCAGGTGGCTTCAGTTTCCCACCTACGTAAAATGAGGACATTGGATCTCAAAGCACCTTCCAGCACTAACATCTTGACTCTGACTCACCCAGGGTTTCACAGGGTGCTGGGCCAGGGGTTTAGCCCCCATAGAGGGGAGGAGTGTGAGGTGGAGGGAGGGGGGCTGGAGGGGTCCCCCGCCCCACTCTATCACGAGTCTTTAGTGCAAAAGAAAATCGACCGAGAGAGAGCACGAGGCCTTTAGTCAGGAGCGGGCAGGGCCAAGGCCCGAGTTTCGGGAGGGCTGGGCCTGAAGCAAGCCTGGGCTCCGCAGGCCGGGGGGCGAGCTCGTGGTTGAGGCTGGGGTCAGAGGGGAGTGCTTGGTCTGGGACCGCTCAGACCACTGAGGCTTGCTGGGTGCCGCGGGCGTCTGTATCTCTGTCCCAGTGAGGATGAAGCGGATGCGCTCCACGCACAGCGCGGTGGCCTGCTGCGTCTCACGACACAGGGCTGCCAGGCTCAGGAAGCCATGGGGCAGGTCCTCCACCACCCGCAGGCTCACGGGGCGCCCAACACCCCGAAGGCGGCGGGCGAGCATCACTGAGTCATCCAGCATGGGGTCCAGGGCGCAGGCCTGGCACGGGCAGCACAGGGCCAGAGGGTGAAGGGGGGATGGACAGGCCACACCAGGGCCAGGACCCACAGCCACAGGGACGGCCATGGAAGACAGGGAGAGGAAAGAGGACAGAAGGAAGACCAGAAGGGATAGGGCAGGGATGGAGATGTGTGGTGGAGCAGAGAGACCATGGTGATGAAGAAACCCCCAAGGAGGGGGAGTGAAAAGAGGCCAAGAGAGACAGAGCAAGTGGACCAGGAGGCAGATGGACGTGAAGGTGGGGCGGGTCCAGGAGGATAGACAAGAGGTCAGATATGGAGATGGAGAGAACCAGTGAGGCAGATGAAGAAGAAAATGGAGACCGAGGGAGCAAGGGAGAGGGAGATGTGGAGGGGGAGGGAGAGAGAAAGAGGGAGAGGGAGAGGGGGGGAAGAGAGAGAGAGAGAGAGAGAGAGAGAGAGAGAGAGAGAGAGAGAGAGAGAGAGAGAGAGAGAGAGAGAGCGCGCCAGCCATTAGGAGGGGCTCCTCCCACTTCCCTCTCTGGCCCTTTTACTTTCCCATAAATGATTCTCCACCCTAGACCCTGGTCCCTTTCCTTGGGTCTTTCCTCAACTCCTCTCCTCTCCCCTCCCCCCAACCTCAGCTCCTTCTCTCTGGCCCTCACTCCCTCCCCCCATCTGAGCCCCTTCTCTCTGGCCCTCACTCCCTCCCCCAATCTGAGCCCCTTCTCTCTGGCCCTCGCTCCCCCCTCCCCCCCATCTCGGCCCCTTCTCTCTGGCCCTTGCTCCCCCCTCAGCCCCTTCTCTCCGGCCCTCAGTCCGCCCCTCTCCTCCCCATCAACTCACCACGATGTGCACGGGGGGCAGGGATTGGAGCATGGAGTCAGGGGCCAGCAGTGGGGACATGAAGGGGTTCTTGACAAGGGGGGACGTCTGCAGGGACAGGTTGGCCCTGCCTTGGCTGGAGCGCCGGGGCTGGAAGCCGTCGGGGAAGGCGGAGCTCAGGTGGTCCGCATTCACCCTGCTCTCTCCTCCTCCTCCTCGGTGGCCTCGACCTCGGCCCCCGAGGCAGGCAGGAAGAAGTTCACCTCCTGAGAAGCCGATGGCGGGGTCTCTTCCGACGAGGTCAGGACTGGGGCGGAGGAGCCCCCCACCAGGCTCAGGTCTTGTAAGGTCAAACTTTTAGTGGAGTCCTTGGGGAGGCTGGGGAGCTCCTGCAGGGCAGCCTCGGACACGCTGCGGCGCATGGTCTCTGGAAGGAGGGAGGGAGGTAGTGAGCTCTCCGCCCCTGCGTCCTTCCCCGGAATGGCTGTGGGACTTCAAGCCCCTGGCCCTCTCTGGGCCTGCTTCCTCATCTCCACATGACGGGGTGGGCCTAGGGGGCCTCCGGGCATTTCAGGCTCTCCCTCTGGGGTCCTCTGAGCTCGGGGATGCGGCCTGTGGGCTACCCCTGCTCAGGCTGCTCTCTCTCCGCCAGTCCGGGGCCCTTCCTCCCCTGCCTGGTCTCCGGCTTCTGCCTTGTCGTCTCTCTCCCCCCCCTTCCCGGGCTGCTGGATCCCTATCTCCATCCCACCCCGGCTGGCTGGGGAGACCCGAGTTTGAATTCAGACTCTGACAAACTTCTAGCTTTAGGTGCTTGTGCATGTCACTTAACCTCCACGTGAACCTCAGTCTCTTCATCCGTAAACCTTGAAACATCACAAATAGGAACTTTGGGCATCACCCCCTCACCCCAACTCCAGGGTCTCCCACCGCCATCTTGGAGGAAGGAGGTGGTTGAGTCCTTCATGATCTAGACTCATTGGGAAAGGACTGTGGAGGCCGCTGAGCCCAGCATCCTCTGGGATTCCCCACAAGTGGATGGGAAGCTCACTCCACTTGGGGACACCTGCTTGGCTGGCTCCTACGTCAGACCCAATCTGCCTGGCTCCCCCTGCTGCCCCTCGCTTTGCCCTCTTGAGCCAAGAACAAATCTCATCCCACTTCTGCAGGGGCAGGACATAGCATTCCCCAAGATCTCCACCCCTCATCTTCCTGGAGCCTTGGGAAGTAAGTGCTGCCCCATTTTCCAGGTGAGGAAATTGAGCCTGAGGTGTGCAGGGGAAGGGAGTCACCTGTTGATTAGGCATCAGAACCTAGGCCTACCTGGCTATGAGGCCAAGGCCTCCTGGCCCGTGTCCCCCATCCCCACTCCCCAGGTTGGCCTGTCGTCCCCCCCTGGTTTTCTTGCTGGGAGGGTCACAGCCCAGATCTGAGAATCACAGAACGTCAGAGCCGGCAGCGCCCTAGAACGGAAATATCCCAGCAGGGTCTGGGGCCCACCCGTTCATCTCACGAGGGGCTCACTGAAGGCTAGAACGAGGGCGCACTGTGTGCCCAGGGCCTCGCAGATCCAGAATGGAACCCCATGACTTTTGCCCGGCTCTGCGCCCTCCTCTCTAAAGGGAGGGTGTGGGAACATCGGGGACTGCTTCCTTTTGGTCACAGCGCCCCCCCAAGGCGAGCATCGTGCCTGGCATACGGGAGGCTCAGGACTGAATTGTGCCGGGGCCTCACCGGTCGGTGGCGGGGATCTGTCAGCGGATCGCCGGCCTCCGAGCTCCAAGAAGGTGTTGAGCCAGGAGGAGGCCCCCAGCCGCAGGTCCCGCCACAGCAGGGCTGTGTCCCTCTTCACCAACCCCATGACGCTCAGGGCCTGCTGCTCCTGGTCTTCCTGGACCTCAGGCTGTACGCCTGTGGTTGGTGGAGAGGATGGAGAAGGGTCCCCTTAGTCGTCCTCCTTCCCCTCCAACGGTCCCACTCTCGTTCCCCGGAGGTCTCGTCCTCCAGCTTCCCACACCTGTGCTCTCCTTGGGGGTCTCGGCCACCGGCGCCCGCCCTTCTGGTGCCCCTGGCACCTGGACCCCAGCCTCACCAGCATAGGCACTGAGGCACTTGGAGAGGACGCTGAGGGGGAGCAGGGGGTCCATGAGACTCAGGAGGCGTGAAGGCGAGACCGAGGCCTGCAGCATCGTGGCTGGGTAGGCAGCCATGATGCCATCAGGCAACCTGACACCGTAGGCTGCTGCCCGCAGGGACATGGTGAAGCAGAGGTTGCCGCCAGCGCTGTCCCCCGCCAGGCACACCCGCTCCCCTGTCGAACCTGGGGGGAGGCAAAGGAGAAGAGGTCACTGCCCTGCCAGGCAGCGAGGCCTGGGAACAGAGCTGGGGCTCAGCTGCTGGACTGGGGGCCGAGGGGCTGAGGGTTCAACACGGATTCACGACAGCCTTATCCCTAACTTGTTAGCCGAATGGCTTTGGACAGTCCTCCCTGGACGTCCTCTTCTGGGGCTCCTTCCACCTTACGAGCACCCGGGTCACCCACTTGTCCCTTCCCCTCTGTCCCCTCAATGTAACATGAGGGGCTGGGCTAACAGCAGCCAGGGGGTTTCTTGCCAGTCTGAATTTCTGAACCCAAGAGACCTTGGTATTGGTGGCCAGTACTCAGAGGTCAGGGGTCAGAGGCCGAATTTTGGGGGGTGTCAGAGTTCGGGAAGCTTGGGGAATTCCAGGGAGGATGAGAATTCAAGAAGAAGGCTCTCAGCTCAAGAAGTCACTGGAGAACTTGGGAGGATGGAGGTCGGAGGTGGGAAGTATGGGCAGGGACTCAGCTTTGGAAAGTGGGGTGCTGCTACAGGTAAAAAGTCAGAAGTTAGGGAGGCCGAGGTCAGACGGTCATAGATTTAGGGTGGAGGGGACTTCAGAAACCGTCAGGCTTAATCCAGGGTCAGGGGCAACTGAGTGCCTGAGGAAGGGCCTGTCCATACTACCACAATGGGAAGTGGGGACTCAGCTGCTGAAACCCCCACAATGGGGGTGCTACAACTGGGCTCCATGGTGGGCGGGGGGAGAAGCAAATGGCTAAGGACAGAGGTCAGAAATCAGAGAGGTTGGGGCTGGTGAGAACAAGTTGGGGAGTCACTGGCCAGGTCACGAGGTAGGCTGGGTGTGGCCTAGCAGCTGGGCATCCTGGGTGGAGAGGGGCCGGGCAGGGGCAGGCTCACCCAGGAGGTGACAGTTTTTGAGGGCCCAGCAGTAAGCGTAGAAACACTCCTCCAGGGCCCGAGGGAAGGGGGCCTCGGGGGCCAGGGAGTAGTCGATGGAGAGGATGGGCACCCCCAGCTCCTGGGCCCAGCTCTTGAGGTAGGGCTCATGGGACTTGGAGGTCTGCGCCACGAAGCCACCGCCATGGATGTGGATGACCAGGGACTTAGAGCGTGGGACGTGGTGGGTGTGGGGCCACAGCTCCAGGCTCCGGGGGCCCTCAGACTGGGCCAGGATGTTCAGTTCCTTGCTGTCCTTGGGGGAGGGAGGACAAAGGGAGGTGGGTCCCTGCTCCCCACCTTTCCCCCTACTTCCCCTAAATCACCTCCCCCCACCTCATCCCTTGGAGGGAGGGGGAGATGAGGAACAGCCTGGGGGCGGGCAGGGGAGGGGGATAGAGAAAGGGGCTGAGGGAGAGGAGACAGAAAGTAGATGAGCAAGGAAGGTAGAAATTGAGGATTAGTCGGGAGAAGAGGCCACCAGGAGATGGGAGGGTAGGGCCAGGGGATGGCGAGGAGAGGGGGATAATGAGGAATGAACAGAAGGCTGGAGGATGACATGCTGGGTGGGGAGTAGGGGGCAGGATGGGGAGGTGCCCAGAGGTCCCCTGCCCCGCACCTGGCCCTCTCGTAGGTCGTATGAGATGAGTCGCACCAGCACAGGGCCCGGGCCCGTGTGGGCTACCGGGGGCGAGATGGTGACTTTGAGCTGGGGGTTGTTGGCCAGGGGTAGCTCGAAGGCTTGAGGGGGCAAGCTGAGGACCCGGCACACCCGCACTGTGGCTGACACCATGTTGGCCAGAGACTGCCAGAGAGAGGGGGAGGAGGGATGGCCGAGGGTCCAGCCTGTGCCCCCAACTTCTGAGGCCTCTCTGAACCCCTCCTCACCTCCCTGGCTACCACAAAGGGGAGTCACAGAACGAGGCCTAGGCCGGTACTAAGGAGATCTGGGCTCTAGGCTTCGCTCTGCCAGTCACTGGCAGAGCCCCTTCACTTCTGTCAATGGTGTTTCTTCCTCAATAAAACAGGAATAAAAACCCCTGAAGGGATGGATGGAGGGACACAGGGCTGGGTGAGGAATGGCCTAAGGCTGTGAGGCAACACGGAAGCACAGCCTAGCAGGGTGGAGCTGCCCTAGGGAGAGTTCTCAACACTGATGGTCTGGACAAAAAACCCTCTTGGAACAGTGTTCAGAGATCAAAGGATATAATGGAGAGGAAAGTGCTAGACTCAGGGGGGTTACAGAACCTCAGAGCTGGGAGGGACCTCAGAACAGGGAATGTCAGAGCTGGGAGGGGGCCTTAGAACAGGGGATGTCAGGGCTGGGAGGGGCCTTAGAACAGGGAATGTCAGGGCTGGGAGGGGCCTTAGAACAGGGAATGTCAGGGCTGGGAGGGGCCTTAGAACAGGGAATGTCAGGGCTGGGAGGGGACTTAGAACAGAGACCTTAAAAGTCCTGCAGTGCAAGCCTCTCATGTTTTTATATTACAGATGGGGAATAGAGACTGAGAATGGAGGAACATTCAAGCCTGCAGAATCAGTCACGGGAGAAGTGTCCCCCACCTCCTCCTGCTGAATTCCGAACGCTCCTTCCACGGCCCTGCTGTACTCACCGACAGCACCTCGATCTCCGTTATGTTCCAGAAGGCCTTCCAGAAATGCACATCCAGATTCTGGGTGATCCGTTCGAACTCAGCCCCTCGCAGCTCCGGGTCGATAGCAAAGCGGCCACCAGTGAAGAGGGAGCTGGCAGCCACACCTGAGGGGGGGGGCATGCTCAGGGAGGGCCCTGGGGTCTAGGTCCCTGCCTTCCTCTGCTGGGGACTTACCCTAGGCGGGGACAGCTCCCTCTGTGCAGCTTAGGTTGGGGGGAAGGGGAGGGGACGAGAGGGGAGAGAGAAGTGAGCGGCAGGGAGCTGAGGGGGGGCCGGGGTGGGGGGAGGGGCGGCCGGCCGGGGGACAACTCACCAATCCCTGACTCATTGCGTTTATAATGCTCCCCAAACGAGACCAGCCCGATGGAAATGGTCTGCAGGAAAGGGCGGATGGCCGGAGTGAACTGGGGGAGGAGACAAAGGGAGGTCCGGATGATCCGGGGAAGAGGAGAGACAGGAGGACGCGGGGCAGCTTGGTCCAGAGGAGACACGGCTGCTGATCAGTCCTCTGGAAATGGTGTCCCAGGCTGTCCCAGTCCTGCCCTCAAGGTGCTTCCCTTCATACAGACCAGATGCAAAAGTAACCTCGGCTTAGAGGAAGGGGAAGGGGAGGAGGGGGACAGGGGAGGAGGGAGGGGAGGAGGAAAGGGAGGGGAAGGGTAGGAGCAGGGAGAGGGAGAGGGAGGGGGAGGGAGGGGAAAGGAGAGCAGGGGAGAAGGAGGAGGAGGGGAGGAGAGGAGGGGAGGAGAAGAGAGGAAGGAGAGGAGGGGAGGAGGAAAGGGGAGGGGGAAGGGTAGGAGCAGGGGGAGAGGAGGAGGAGGGGAGGAGGGGGAGGGGAAAGGGAGGAGCAGGGGAGAAGGAGGAGAGGGAGGGAAAGGAGGAGGGGAGGGAGGAGAGGAGGGAGGGGAGGAGAAAGGGAGGGGAAGGGTAGGGCAGGGGGAGAAGGGAGGAGGAGGAGGGGGGAGGAGAAGAGGGGGAGGGGGAAGGGGAGGAGGGGAGAGGGGGAGGAGAGGAGGAAGAGGGAGAGTGGAGGGGAAGGAGGAGAGGGGAGGGGGAGGAGAGGGAGGCATTACCCAATAGCTGCAGGGGCCGGGCACCACTTCGTTCAATCAACAAACACTAATATTTTATCAAGTGTTTCCAGCCAAGACAAAGCGCCAGGAGGGGGTGAAGGTGGCTCTATGCAGGGTAAGGTCTATGATGGGGAGCAGCATCCACCCCAAACAGGGGAGCTCATGTTTGGTCCTGGGGGGAGTAGGGAGCCACGGAGCTTATGGAGGGGAGGAGTGACAGTCTGGCCAGCGTTTGGCAGCGGTGGGAGGACCAGCCAGGAAGCTGCTGCAACTAAGGGAAGTGAAGAGACCCTCTCCTACATGGGGCTCTGTGGTGAGAACAGGAAGAAAGCGCGAGATCTGGCGGCCTGGGGGGGAGGGCAGGTCGAGGATGGCAGGAGGGAGGCCACAAGGTGCAGTATGAGCCAGCCCCAGGACAGCTGACAGAGGCGAGGGCTAGCTCGAGGGCAGACACTGCCCTTGACAATCCTGTCCTCGTCTGTCAGAGGCGGATCACAGAGCACCTGTCTCTCAGGCGGTGAGGATCAAATGAATCCTGCACACAGCAGGCACGACCTAGCGCAGTGCCTGGCACGCAGTAGGCGCCACCCAAATGTTAACTACCACTATGACGACTATTATTCTAAGGCCAAGGAAGGCCCTTTTGGGCCGCTGAGCCCCGGCCACCACGAGGTGACAGGGTCCGTGCTGGGACTCCAGCTGAGTCCCTGGCAGGCCCCCGGGTCACCTCCTGTCTCTCTGGCTCTCGGGTGACGGAGCGTTGGAGGGAGGATTGATGAGGCCGCGAGCGCGTGAGCTCTGGAGGGCCCAGGAAGCAGCGCCCACGCCAGAGAAGTCGGGGGGGCAGGTCTGAGGTGACTCGGGAGGACGACGCCTTGCTAGCCGCTTCAGGTCCCCAGTGGGCCTGGGTGGCAAAGGAGAGCGGGCCCTGGGTCCCGGCGCGTCTCGATCTCTGTGAACGTCCTTTTGGTAAAAGCTAATGCACATCGCTTGGTTAAAGGATCCTGGGGTGTCAACTGACGATGTCAATGACACTGAGGAGGTAACTGACAACTGATACTGGGGAGCAAACATCAGGATGGGGGCTCAAGCTGGCCCCTCCAAGGCCTTGGGGCTCCCTCGGACCCTGTGCCCTGGGGGCGGCCGACTCATCTGGGGCGGTGGGGGTCCATGCATCACTGTGGTTCGGTCGCCTCAGGTACGTCTGACTCTCCGTGACCCCATTTGGGGTTTTTTCGGGCAGAGATACTCGAGTGGTCTGACGTTTCCTTCTCTGGCTCATTTTACAGAGGAGGAAACTGAGGCAAACAGGGTGGAGTGACTTGCCCAGGGGCACGCAGCTAGTGAGTGTCTGAGGCCACATCTGACCTTGGGTCCTCTCGGCCGACCACTGAGCCACCACCTAGCTGCCCATCATCCTGATGGCTGCCCGGGGACCATGCCCTCCTCTTTGTTCAGTTCCTGGCCTCTGCCCATCTCCTGGCAGCCTGAGGCGGGCAACGGCTTCAGCCCCCGTGGGCTGCTAGTGCCCGGGCCGAGCCTCGGTCTCCCTGGCGTCCATGCCTGGGGCAGGCTTCGTCCCCCGCTGAGGCTCTGGTAGGTCATTAGGGACCACGTCACCCGTGAGGAGCACCCGTGAGGAGCACGTGCGCTGCTCAGGCACCTCTGACTTGCCCCTCGGGCCTGGGAGAGTCGGCCTGGGAGTGGGCTTCGTCCAGTCAGGTATCCGGAGGGCCTGCTCCCTGCTTGGGTGCCCGCAGGCTTCCTCACCTGCACAGCTCTGCCTCTCAGAATCCCCTACTTTCCTGCAGACCCGGCTCCAGGCCCTCCTCCTCCAGGCAGCCCTGCCTGGTCCCCCAGGCTCCAAACTCCCTAGTACTTAGTATTTCACATAGTTTCTCTCTCTGGGTGCACGTTGTCTACTGACTGTATGCAAGCCTCCTGAAGTTGGGCAGTGCTTCGTGTCTGCATCCAGAAGATGCAGCACGGGGCCTGGCATGCAGCATGGGCTTCCCAAAACCTGCTGCAGCAGCCACACTGGCAGCCATGGGCCTCGGCTCTGGGGGCCAGAGCGGGGGACAATAAGAGGAAGCCACAGGGAGGCCAGACGTCAGCAGTGAGCGTGGGGGCACAGACGGACCCCCGGTGAGGGCCGGGCCGGGTGGCCGTCACCTTCCCGCCAGCGCTGAGACTCCAGCTCCGGGAAGCTGAGACAGGGGTTATGGAAAGAAATGGGGATGCGAGAGATGACGAGGTAGGAAGCTGATGAGACAGGAATGGAGAGTCCTGGGGGATGGAAGGGGGAGGAGTGGGGGCAGAAGAACCCGCCTGCCCTTTCTGGGCCTCATGTAAAATGAGGGGGGGGACTCCCGCAGGAGGGAACTCCTGCTACTGGCGTAGGCCAGCACCAACTCTGAAAGCGAGAGCCCAGAAGAGCCTCCAGGGCTGGTGAGGGACAGAGCCCGACCTGAACCGGAGGGGTTTCCTAGCACCCTCGCATCTCCAGACTGCTATGGGCTGATGGCCCTGCCTCAGGGGGCCTGCATGCCCTCCCAGAGCCGGGCAGGCACTACAGGCAGGGCTGTCTCTCACATCTAGAGAGAGGGGGCGACATCTAGCCAACGAGGAGGGGAGTGATGGAAGACGAGGGCACAGGAGTGACTTAGAGGCAGAGAGATGGGGAGGCACAGAGTGGCTGCAGGCAAGGGCTGGTGGGCCTCCCTTCTGATTGCTGGAGGGTGTGGCCCCTGTACTGACCCCCTCCCTCCCCACGCTGTGGCAGGTCCAGCTGAGCTGCCCACTGTGAGCTTCCTGGCCCAGTGGAACAAAGGTCAGCGGGACTGCCAGGGGATTCCTGGGGGGGGGGGCTGGCACTCTGAAGAAAGCCCCAGGACCCCAAGGTCAGAGCCGAGTATTTATGAGCACAGGGCACCATCCCATACACGTGCCGAGCACTTGGTAAACATCTGCTGACTTATTTTTCTTCTTCTTGGTGGGGGGAAGGGTGGAGGACAAGGACGTGCCCCAGATCCTAGGCATCAGGGCCGCTGCCCTCTCTGGAGGGCCCCCCACCCCTGCCCCAGCAGGCGAGGTAAGTGCAGGCAAACTCCAGGGAACTCTCTAGAGGTCATGGCCACGGGCACCAAGGGGCCAAGGACGCTGGAGAGATTCCAGAGGCGGGGGAGAAGGCAGTGTGTGAAAGAGCTTTACGGCTCTGGCCCTGCCTTCCTGTGTGCCCTTGGGGAGGCTGGGCCCCCTCACTGGGCCTCCACTTCCTCTCCATTTGTGGGTTCTAGAACTTCTGTTCTAGGGTCCCTCCCAGCTCTGGCCGTCAAGGTTCCTCTCTGGCTCAGACGGCCTCTGATCTATGGCCCTTCCCTCATCTGCCCTGTGGGGAGAAGGCTTCAGCAAAGGAGCGTCCTGCCCAGCTACCCACCCTAGCCGTGGCCGTGGCCCCTCACCTGGAAGCCCAAGCAGCGGCCATAGAAACAGCCCTTGTGCAGGGTGCCGTACTCTCTGAGGAAGTCCGCACTGAGTCCCCCGACACCCTCGAAGAAGAGGCCGCCCGGTCGGTTGGTGGCCAGCAGGCACTGGGCGTAGTAGGCCAGGGTTCGCAGCTGCGTCAGGGCCGCCAGGTACGCCTCCAGCTCGGCCAGGTTGTGGCCGGTTCGGAAGAAGATGCTCTTGCGGCTGGCGGCCACGTAGCGGGCCTTGTGCAGCAGGTGGGCGAGGCAGCAGCCCGCCGTGTGTACCAGGCTGCGGTAACCGTTGGCGGGTGTCTGGGCGTCCAGGTCAAAGAGGTGGGCTATGCCCAGCAGCTGGCTCAGGGCTGGCTCCAGCCCCAGCACCTGCTCCTGTATGCCCGTGAAGGTCCTCACGAGGCGGCGGGCCGTCTCCCCGGGACCCTGGCTGGCAAAGTAGGTGGCGTTGTCCTCCGAGAGTGCCACCAGTGACTGGGTCATGGTTTTCAGGTCCATGCCATGGGTCAGGCGGGAGGCTGTGGACAGAGACAGCGATAGTGGCTGGAGGTGGGCACGGGTCTCCATTCTGACCTCTCACCCCTTTGGAGCCAGGGATCTGGCCCTCATGCCAAGGCCTCTTTGCCTTCCTTCTCCATCCCAGGACCCAAATGTCCAGTGCCATCCCCAGGTGCCTCGGGGACCCCTGCCCACAGCTCCCAGAGCCCAGGGGTCACTGCAGCCAGGCCCCTCCCTGTCATCCCTCCCGGCACCATCAGCCTCCCTTGCTGTGAGAGCCCAGGCTTCTGCTGCCCCGTTCTCCTCCCTCCCTCCGTGCATGCGGCCTCCCCCCCTTCCCAGGGCCCAGGCGATCCAGTTTCTGGGTCTCCCTCCAAGGACCCAGGCATCTAGTTTCTAGTTCCTCTCCCTTCCAGGTCCTAGATGTCTGATTCCCACTTCTCTCTCTGCAAGGACTCCAGCATCCAGTTTGAAGTCCCCAGTGGCCTACCCCTGCCTCCTCTAACCGCCCCCTCCCACTTAGTCTCCAGTTTTCTCCCCAAATTCAGGCATCTAGCCCCACGACTTCTTCCTCTAGGCCCCCTCCCCAAAGCACAGCAAAGCCCCCTCTGCCCCACCATCTTCCTCTCTGTCCTCTCCTGAAGGCTCTGGGCACATGAGGGACCACACAACTCACCCATTTTCCTTTCTTTGTTTATCCCTAGCATCTCCCGGCCCAAATCCAGGCCCCGAGGGCAGCTGCCTCTAACTGCCAGTCTAGAAAGGAGCTCTCTGGTCTATAAAACCTGGCAGGGGAGGGGCAGACTCCGCCCTCTCGGGCAAGGACCACCCCCCCAGCCCCCTCCCTTCTCCTCTGGCTGCAGCTTCTGGCACTGGGGGGAAGCACGTGATGTCAACAATCTCCCGACTCCAATATGCAATCAATGGGAGCTGCCTGGATTCCCAGGCCATCGGTCCCCTCCGGCTCCCTCCCGCCTGGCCGCTCTCCCTCCTCGTCTCTTCTGGCTTGCTTCAGTCCCAGCTAGAATCCCACCTCCTACCCATTCTACCCATTCTACCCACAGCCTTCAGTGTTTCCTGGCTTCTTTGTCCATTTTCTCCCCCATCAGACTGTGCGCTCCTTAGGAGCAGGGGCTGAATTGTGCCCCGTTTTTTGTAACCCAGCGCTTAGCACACAGGAGGCATAGCAACTAGTCCTCGTCTTCCCCCTATTCCTTTATCTAGGCCAGGGGTGGTGATCCCGGCCTTGAGGCCTCCTGTGCCCCTGGAGATCCTCAAGTGCGGCCTTTTGACTGAGCCCGTTTTACCGATGTTCTGTAGGACTCATGTGGCCACATCTGGCCCCTGCTCCAGCCTCCAGAACTTCTCTATCCTAGGACCCTGGAGTTTCGCCTGGGGGATTTCAGTGCCTGGCTCCACTCCCTGACTGCTCAATGGTCTAGCCTGGCTCCGCAGAATCCTGTGAGCCCCTTGCTCTTGCCCCCCCCCCCCCCGCCCCCATCACCCTTGGCCTCCATCTCCCAGGGAAAATGGACGGATGGATCAGTGGGTTTCCAGCTAGGAACAACCTTACACATTTCCTTTAAACCTGTCTTTATTTGAACAGAAAAGGAAAGTGAGGCACCAGAGAAAGAGCCTATCACTAAGAAGTGGATGCCTGTTGAGTGACAGTGCCATAAGCCAGAAAGATTGGTCCCGTTGGGGGGGCTGAATGATCACCCTGACTTTCCAGAGGGACTGCTACAGCCTGAGATGACTAACAGAGGGCCCATTCAGGCTGAGAGCTGGGCCGCCCCCCACTGCCTGGCACTGGGTGATCCAGGGGTGGGGGGTGTGCCTCATCTCTCCCCTCTTCCAGCTTCGGGAACAAAAGCTGATTAGCAGCAGGCCCTTCAGCCTGGGGCAGTCCTGGCGGATGGACTGGGAGCAGACTACGGGCTGCCAGGGACAGAGACTGGGTTACAGGGAAATGAGAGCAGAGGCTGCTGTGCCTCGGGGTTATGTGTTCACAGTAGAACTGGAGCAGAGGGCACCCTGTGCCAGGACAAGGGGCTGAGGCCAAGCTGAGCCAGAGGCAATGGGGACAGAGGGCACAAGCAGGGAGCTGGGGGGTCAGGGGAGAAGGCAGAAAACGCAATGGGAGCTGGACTGGGAGTCGGAGGGCCTGGCCTGCCTCAGCTACCTTCTACCGGTATGGCCCTGGGCAAGTCACTTAACTCTGGGCCTGTTGTGGGGGGGGGTGCTGAACTAGATATCTTCTCATATTCCTTTCAACTCTACATAGATGCTCAGAAATGAGTGGAGGCACTAGCGAGGGGGACTGGGGGCTAAGGGTGAAATGGGGGCCGGACGAGGCTGGGCCCCACTGGGAGGGGGAGGAATGAGCCAAAGTCCAGGAAGGACAAGCTTGTCCCTCTGCCCTGTAAAGGAATGGATGTGGCCTAACCCAATGTCTTAAACTTTGTCCCCAGGACAGCCTGTGCAGGGAGCCTCTGATTCAGTTTGTCCCAGAAGGGTTGGGGGCAGGGGAGAGGCCAGCAGCCAAAACAGAGTCTCCTGGGGATCAAGTGTGCAGGAAGTCAGAAAACAAGGATTTCCTGGGAAGAACAAGGAGGAAAAGGTGAAGGAGGGTCAGTGAGCCTGTGGGAGGGAGCTGGGCAGGAGCTTGGCTTGGGCCTGGGCCCAGGAGTAGCGAGTGTGTGAGGCCAGGGTAGGAGGTCAGGGGGTGGGAGCTTAGGAAAGCTAGGTGAATATGTGTAGCTCCGGGGCTCTAGATCAGAGGGAAGTGGGCCATTGTCTAAGCTCCAGGAGCATGCTGTGTCGAGGGTGGGGGTGGGGGGCAGGTCTGAACTCAGAAGGGATATGTGGGAATAATCCCAGGGCTCAGGGGAAAGGGTGTATGGATCCTAGGCTGGGTTGGAACTCACCAGTGAGAGCTCAGTGTGGGTGTAGCCCTGGGCCCTGTGGCAGCTGGTGTCCCTGTGGCTGGGAAGGTGATTTCCATCCACCCCTTGCTTAATAATTTGTGTGGAAAGGCAAGATGGAGTCCTGAGGGCAGGGACCCAGCTGGGGAGATACCTCTGCCAAACTCCTCAGTATTACTGCCCACTCGCTCCAGGGAGGGCACGGCCCGTGTCTCAGACTGTCTGGGGGAGTGTGGGCATCATAACAGTGTACAGTCATCCGCCTCATTTGGTCCCCTCCTCTTATGAGCTGAGGTAGGGATGTGGCCCCAGACAGGTTGGAGTACTTGCTGCCCCAAGGCAGGCTCTTTCCTATGGTCTGGGAGAGGGGCTTCTGTAGTTCCCAGGAAGGTCTGAGATGCTCTGAGAAATGACAAGGATGGGCTTTTTGTTGAGGGGGACCCTCCCTTCGCCAGGTACCCACGGCTCATCCCTAGAGAAATTTAGCTCCATGACACCCACCTTGTCCTGGGCAGTAGGTGGGGGGAGAATGGCCCTTCCAACACTTAACTCTCCTTGTGTGGAGGGAGTGGAACAGTGTCACCCCAACCTTGCTCTTTCATAAATCAAGGGGATCAGTGTAAGAGGTGCTGTTGGAGGCCTGGATGGATACTGGAAGATGACTGTGGGATGTGCTTGGGGGGTTATTTCCCAAGCTCCCTGTATACTCAGGGCCATTGGGCTGGGGATTGGGTAAGGTCTACCAAACTGGGCCATACTCTCCAAACCAGGATTGCCAGGTTGTGGGGGAGGAATGAGAATTCATCACTCATTCGGCTACATTCCCTTCCAAGCTGGGTTTCTATTGTTTCTATTCTTCCTCCTCCCATACACATTAGTCACCCCACTTCAAGCTTCCTCAAGTATCTGTAGGACATCCCCCGAAATGTAATGCAAGGACAAGCAGTTCAGCCTAGAATGGGCCATCAATTAGCTCTCTTTTCCTTTGGGACATCCCAATAACATCTCACACTTATAATGCTATTGTATCCACTACACAAATGGGAAAACTGAGTTTCAGAAAGGTGAGTTAAATAAGTGAATTAGGAGACACTGCATAGAGTACTGGATTTGGAGTCAGAGGACCTGGATTCAAATCCCAGCTCTGAGGCTTAAGCCACACATGATCCTGAGGAAGTCATAACTTCCCTGGACCTCAGTCTCCCCTTCTGCAAAGTGAGGTTAGACCAGAATGGTCTCTGGGGCTCCTTCCAACTCTGGACCTATAGTGTTGTGACTTGGGTTCAAATCCTGCCTCAGACATTTGGTACTGGTGTGTGACAACGACTTAGTTTCCTCATCAGGAAAATGAGAGTCCCTTGGAGGTTCACAATCCTAAATGGCGTTTGATGGTCGGGCCCCAGAACCACTGCTCCGCCACCTCCCCTCCCCTCCCAGGTCCGGCTTGTCCTCCTCTCCCCCGACCCGGGCCACGGCGGGACATGACTCCCCCCCCCCCGGTGGGCCATCCCACCGAGCTACTCCCCCTCCACATCCCGGTGGGCCATCCCACCTCTCTCCCCATCCCCTCCTCTCAGGGGCAGTGGCACATACCACGCCCTCCTCCATACTTCCACTCTACAAGGCACATTCCATTCCCTATCTCCCACTCCCCACGGGACATCCCACTCCATGTCCCCTCCCATGGGGCATTCCACTCTCTAAGCCCCCTCCCCCATGGTACATCCCACTCTGGCCCCCTTCTCCTCACGGCCCATCCCCCCTACATCCCACTCTAGGTGGTACATCAAGCTCCGAACCTTCCTCCTTCCCCCCATGGTATATCCCACTCTACCGTTGCCCCTTATGCTCATCCCTCCTACATCCCACTCTATGTGGTACATCCCACCCTATCTATATCTCTCCCTCCCACATGGTACATCCCATCCCACCCCCCATACACACCCCAGGTGCCCGGTGACATCGGGACATCCAGCTCTTTCCCCACCAGTGACAGAGGAGCCCCGCAGTGGGTCGGGCGGGCTACAGTTCTACTCTCCCCCCGCACTCGGACCCAGGGCCAGCTCCGCTCCCTCTCACCTTTGGCCCGGCCTCGCCGCCACAGCCGGCGGCTTCGGCTGCCCGCTCTCTCCTTGGTCCTGAAGACCCCGGTTCCCCCCGCCAGCTCCATCGTCCTCGGCCCGTTCCCCGCCACCGGACCAATCCCCTCCCCGCGCCACAGCCCAGCCCCCGTCCCAAGGACCAATAGGCGTCGACTCCGGGCGGCTAGGGCCCGCCCCCAGGGTCCTTAAAGAGCCGTAAGAGGGCCTTTCCGCGACGCCCTCCTTCCCTTTCCCGTCCCCTGCGCCCTCTCCTGACCCGGGAGTAGGGGCCGGACCCGGACTGAGTGGCCGCTACTCTCGCCCTCACCCCCATCTTTCCTGCCAGCAACTTCTTCCTCAGGCCAGAGGGAGGCTCAGGTTACTGCGCAGGCGCACTTCCCTAGAGAGAGCGGAAGGCGGGGGGCGGGACAACCTCCAGCTTTGAGAGCCGAAGGTGGGGCACGTGTCATTCTCCTCCTACTCCCTTCCAGCCCTACCTGGGGGTTGCGCATGCGTGCCCTATGCCTAGTCCGTTCAAATGATGAAGAACTGTTATAGGAAAAGGTGGGAAGCAGAGGAGAGCTCGAGGCCTCCCTTGCCCGCCCATAGGCCTAGGGCTTGGAATGGTGCGTGGCCCAGTAGTGGGTGTGGCGTAAGCGAAGGCGTGGCCTCGGGGGGGATATTTGTATGGGGCCTGAAGGGAGGCGTGGCCTAGGCTGGCGTCGGGGCGTGGTCTGGAGTAGTGGGTGTGGCCTAGACATGTGGGCATGGTTTCTTATCCTCTCCGCCCTCCGCTACCTGCCACGTGGCTAGTGGGCTCGGAGTGGGGCACGGGGGGTGGGGGTTGAGGGTCTGCAGGGGCTGAGGCGGGTCAGGTCCCGTGGCCCCTCATCCAGAGCCAGGGAGCGGGGCTTGTGTCCTAAGCCCGCCACAGCAGGGACTTTTCCATTTACTTGAGGCCCCCAGCACCAGCGCCGTCTGGGCACATAGTTGGGGCTTGATGCAGGCTTGTTGGATTTGGGTGTGCTCCCCCCATTCCTGAGGTGGCCCTGGGCCTGAGCGAGGGGCTCTACTGAGGCTCCCCCCCCCACCCCAGGAAAAGGACAGGAGGGGCCCAGCCCTGCATCCCAAGGGTTTGTGGGCTACAAAGCAGCAGCTTTGGGAGAGTGAGACATCAAGTCCAGCATCTTTTAAAATGTGATTTCCCTCTTCTCCTTCTCTCTCCTCTCCCCCTCCCCCATCACAGGATCACAGTAGAGTTGGAGGTGACAAGGGTCTTCAACGTACTGTGTGTAGGCCAACCCCTCTCATTTTGCATGTAAGGAATCTCAGGCCCAGTGAAATAAGTGACATTGCCCAAGGCCACCCAGGGAGGTGGCAAGTGACAGAAGTGGAAACTGAGCTCAGGCCCTCAGACTGCCCACCCAGAGCTCTTGGAGTGTGAATTTGGAATCTGGGGCGTCCACTTAGACCCAGTCACTGCCCTCCTTTCCCTCTACTCCGCCATTCCAACTAAATAGGGTCCTTTCACCTCTTTTCATCCATTCCTCACCTGCATCTCTAGGATGATAGATATGCATCTTTCCATCGTGGCCCAGGATTCTGCCTGCTGCTGATGTCACCTTGTGGTGGGAAGGAGGTTCCTGGAGGATGGAAGAGTCCTCCTGGGATCCGGTGTCCAGGGCATTGCGTTCATTCTCTGTTACAAGTGGCTGCCGTGGCGAAGGCTGGGGTGTGAGTGTCCTCGGTGTTATGGGTTCCTTCTCGAAGCCAGCTTCTTGCTGTGATGCAGGTCTTGGCTGTAAGGGAGAGGCCTGCCCTGTTATAGGTCCTTGCTCTGAGGTAGAGTCCTGTTTTGACTTGGGTTTGAGGTGCCTGGTGGATTCCTGCTGTGATATGGACTCCTGCTTCAATTGGGGTCTTGGCTGTGCTGCAGTCTCGCTCTCAGAGGCAGCGCCAGGCTGGGATGCTGTTACTTCTGCTGTACCTCTGAGATGGGATGTGGGTCCATTCTCAGAGGCTGAGCCCTGATGAAACTCCAGCTCTGAGGTTGAGTCCTGCAGGGATTTAAGTTCTAGATGCATCACTGATCTGTGTTGGAAGGTGTGGCCGTGCTGTGATGTGAGGGATAGGTCTCTCTCCGAGGCAGATTCTGACTGGGATGGAGATTCAGGCTGGAATGTTGGCCTTTGTTCGGAGGCAGGCCCCAGCTTTACTAGAGAGATCTGCTCAGGGGCACGTGGTCCCAGCTGTGGTGCAGGGGTCTGCTCAGGGACATGTTGTCCCAGCTTTGCTAGAAGGATCTGATCAGGGGTATATGGTCTCGGCTGTGCTGTGGGGATCTGCTCGGGGTCATGTGGTCCCGGCTGTGCTGTGGGGATCTGCTCGGGGGCATGTGGTCCCAGCTGTGCTGTGCAGGTCTGCTTGGGGGCATGTGGTCCCGGCTGTGCCGTGGGGATCTGCTTGGGGGCATGTGATCCCAGCTGTGCTGTGGGGTCTGCTCAGGGCACGTGGCCCTAATTGTGGTACAGGGGTCTGCTTAAGGGCATGTGGCCCTAGTTGTGGTGCAGAGGTCTGCTCAGGGACATGTTGTCCCAGCTTTGCTAGAAGGATCTGATCAGGGGTATATGGTCCCGGCTGTGCTGTGGGGATCTGCTCAGGGGCATGTGGTCCCGGCTGTGCTGTGCAGGTCTGCTCAGGGACATGTGGTCCCAGCTGTGCTGTGGGGATCTGCTTGGGGGCATGTGGTCCCAGCTGTGCTGTGGGGGTCTGCTCAGGGGCACGTGGCCCTAATTGTGGTACAGGGGTCTGCTTAAGGGCATGTGGCCCTAGTTGTGGTGCAGAGGTCTGCTCAGGGACATGTTGTCCCAGCTTTGCTAGAAGGATCTGATCAGGGGTATATGGTCCCGGCTGTGCTGTGCAGGTCTGCTCAGGGACATGTGGTCCCAGCTGTGCTGTGGGGATCTGCTTGGGGGCATGTGGTCCCAGTTGTGCTGTGGGGGTCTGCTCAGGAGCACGTGGCCCTAATTGTGGTACAGGGGTCTGCTCAGGGGCATGTGGTCCTAGCTGTGGTATAGGGGTCTGCTCAGGGGAACATGGTCCCAGCTGGGCTGTGGGGGTCTGCTCCGATGCTGAGCTCTGCTGGTGTACAAGTTCATTCTCAGTGGCAGGTTCTTGCTCTAATGAAGTTTCCTGCCGTGATCTAGGTCCCTGCTTGGTAGCAGGTCCCTTGTGTGATCTCAGTCCTTGTTCAGAGGCAGGTCGCTGCTGCGATCTAGGCCCCTGCTCCACTGTGGGAGATGTTGCTAGCCCAGCCTCCATCCTTCTGACCCCCCAGATCACCCCCTTTACAGATCTCTCACTGGCTCCTCGTGTCCGTGCGTCTCTTTGATTTCCATGCGTTCCTTCATCCCGGCATCTCCGATTCCCCACTCGTGAGCCTGGCTGGTGCGTGTGTTCAGCACTTGGCCCCTTCTACTGTGCCCAGTGATGCTACCTCTGTCCTTTCCACTGGGGTGAGGAAAGGAGGGGGCCTGTGCCCCTGGCCCTCCCCTGGTAAGGGTGGGGCTTGGCTTCTTATGTCATAGACAGGGCCCTGCCCCCTCACCCATTCAGGGGACCCTCTTGCCTCCCCCAAGGTGGGCATCCTAACTCGGTCCCCTGCTTTTTATGGTCTTTCAGAGACAGAGTCCTGGACCTTGCAACAAACGCCCTTGTTCTGGAAAAACATCTCAGTGTTTGAGGAAAGGATGCATGTCACAGAGAGAGATGCTCCTCTCCTCCCAGAGGATGCCTTCTTCTACCTTTAGAGCTTCCATTTTCTCCTGGTTCTCAGCTCTGCTTCTCTCTAGCTGCTGCTTCAGCATCTTCTTCACAAACCCCTAGGACCACAGAGTTTAGAGCTGGAAGGGGAGTCCCACCTGCTCACTGAACAGGAGAGGAAACTGAGGCCCAGAGAACGTGAAGGGACTTTGCCAAGGTCACACAGGTAAGTGGTTGAGTTGGGGTTTGAATGATCTGCTGACATCACACCTCTCTCATTTCCCAAGGGTCTGACCTACTAGCTAGGTACCCTTCGCTTCTTCACCTCTTCTCCACCCCCCTGGGTAGCTTTGGGTCCTTGGGGATGTCTCTAGAGGGAGGGGTGCCTTCCTTGAAGAATCCAGGGCTGCCTAGACTCAATTTGGGAACGCTGGCTGGAGAGGTGATGTAGCTGCTTATGTCACTTGGTGAGCCAGGAATTGACAAGACTGGTGACTGAGCAGCAGGCCTTACCACCTGTCCCAGGGTGCTCTGGGCCTTGCTGTCTACCCTGCTGCTTGGCCCTCTGGTCCCCATCCCCCCATGTCTACCCCCCCCCCCAACTGGCCGATGCTCCCTACAGACTTGTCATGTGTCCCTTCTCTGCCCCTGTAGGACTCGGGGCCTTTCTGTCCATCTATCCTGCACCTCCATGTGTTGTCACCCCTGGTTGGAGCAAGAGCTCCTTCTGGGGGCGGGGGGCTGTTCCTTTTTTTCTTTCTATCCTTAGCACTGAGCCCTGTCCTTGGCACATAGCTAGCACTTAATACGTGCTTCATTCCTTCATTGTCTTGGCAGTCTCCCAGAGCTGGATAACTTCAGCAGTGCCACATGGTTCTCAGAGGTGGGTCATCAGACATTCCTTCTCTCCTGACCCCCAGATGGCCACCCTCAGCCAACACCACAGACTTCACGTGCCCCAGACTGACGGGGCTTGTGACCTTTCCCTTTGAGCCCAGCTGCTTCTCCCTTTCCCATGGGGGGCAGCTCTGTTTCCTTGGTGTTCCCTTGCTTGGGGGTCATTGATTTGTCTCTCGCCTCCCATAGCCAAACCACCTTCGCAGCATCTTGGGCAGATATCTGGGCCTGTCTCTCTGTGCCCTTGGCCACGACCCTGATACGACAACCTTCCTGCTTCTAGCCTTTGCCATAGTGCCACGTGCCGAGGGCTTTGTGGTCCTGAAGGTGCCGTACAAATGGGTAGTTTCTTACTGGGATTTTTGGAGCAGGCCTGTGATTTTACTCCCTATACCAATTCAGATCAGCTCGACTCAGTCATTCCTAGCTTTGAAGAGTTGTCCGAGGGCCTGAGAGAAGGCTAAGTGCTTTCCTCTGGAGCTCACAAAACCCAGACCTGCCCCACAGGAGCTGGGCCCTGGGTCTCCTTGACTTTGAGGCGGCTGGTTCTCAACGCACTGTGCCATGCTCCCTTTCGCCTCGCCACCCATCCTTTAAAACCCACCCAGATGCCAGAGAACCAGTGACTGCTTGTTTGTTCTGGCATTCCCCAAAGAGCTTGTCCTCCAGAGGGCTGTGGCTTGGAGAAAACTCAGGCCACTTACTGGCCCTCTCTGGGCCCAAGCTGACAAGGTAGGAGTTGATGGTTGCTACGCTCCTCCGGATCTGATGGCTCCCCAGTGTCTGGGGAATTGGATTGGCCTCAATGGCCTCAGGGGTTCTGGCAGGCGACTTTGGGCCAGGCAGGGAGCGGCCAGGGCCTTGGGAACCTAACCCAGCCACTTCCGCTGGTGAAATGTTTTTCGTTTTTATTGAAGACCCCAGGGTGCTACATGTTGCTGGCGTGGTGATGGTCAGTGAGGCTGAAGAGTTTCCCTGGCGATTAGGGATTGTGGGGACTGATTCATCCTCTCCCCCGGCCCCAACTTGGACCTGAGAAAGGGTGGGCAGAGACGGGGAAGAGAGGTCAGGTGCTTGCTTCCCGGAGGGATCAAGCTGAGGAGTGCCTGCAGTCCACGTGACCCTGGGGGTCGTTTCTGAATTAAAGCCATCTTGGGAGCTGACCTTCTGCCCTTCAGACTGGACTGATCTCTTACAAAGGCAGAGTAATGTCCCGCAGCTGGCATTGCTTCAGAAACCGGAGGCAGCTCCGTCTCCAGTGCTTCCGATGCCCTAAGCCTAGAAAGGCGAGAGACGCCAGGTTAGTTGGGCCCAAGACCTGGATCCGAGGTTTGGAGAGAAGGTGGGGCTGGAAGCCAGGACAGCTGGGGTTCCATCTGAGATCACCCAGGTCAGAGCCCCGGGCTTTATCGAGAAGGAAACAGAGGCCTCCAGCGTTAAGTGAACCTGCCCAAGACCACAAAGGCGCTAAAGTACTGGAGCCAGTGTTTGAACTTGGGGCCTCTCACCCCGGATCCAGGCCTCTTTCTACGTGTGAGGATATTTCCTCCACTGATGCAGTTAGCTACTCCGTCACTATCTTACTGGATGGTTTAGAGTGCTAGCTTTGGCATTCAAGACCTACCACAGCCTCACCTGAAGCCTGCCTTTCCAGCTTTACCTCATTCTCCTGCCCTTCGTGAGGCAACTGGTGGCTGAGTGTATAGAGTGCTGAGTCGAGAGTCAGGAAAACCTGAGTTCCTGTCCAGCCTCAGACGCCTGTGTGATCCTGGACGAGTCACTTAACCTCTGATTGCCTTGGCCTCCTTGGATGTAAAAATGGTGACGATGATAATGGCACCTACCTCCCAGGGTGGTTGGGAGGATTAAATGAGATGATATTTGTTAAAAAAAAAAATACTTAGCACAATGCCTGGCACGTAGTAGGTGCTTACAGAGATGCTCCTTCTCTCTCCCTCCCTCCTTCCATTCTAGTCATCCTGGGTGCCTCTCCATCGTTTGTTCTGGTCCATCCCCGTGCTTTTGCTTAGACCACGCTCCTCCCCTTTGAGGCTCAGCCCAGACGGCGCCCCCTTCTTGGGCCAGCCGCCCCTTCCTTCCTGCCCTTGCCAGGGGAGTGAGCCTGTCCCCGCCTCTGGAGTGGCTCTGCTCGGCCGCCCTGGCCCTCGTATTCTGCCACTGTAGCATCGGTGTTTGTGCACAGGCCAGCCTTCCCCGACCTGGGCAGACCTGGGCGGGGCAAGGGTCCTGGCGTCGTTCATCTTCCAGTCTTCCACCTAGCCTAAGGCACTGTATATAGTAGGCACTTAGCAGTGGTGCATTTCATCACCTCGACCAGGGTGTCCTTCTGTTTATGACCCTCTGCCCTAAGGTGGGCTGTCCTCTGACAACAGTCACATGCCCTCATGGGCCAGTACTCCAAGCCTTCCAGCTGGGAATGGAGGACAGGCTTGTCGTGTCTTTCCACCATGCCCCTTGAGGGCTGAGGGTCACCTGGTGTGTAGGGACAGGGTTTCTAAGTGCCCCACCCAGGGTTCTCCACGTCTCCTTTGGTGGGGCCTGGGGGGAGTAGCCCTGAGGAGAGCTGACTTCAGCTTTCGGGATAATGTGGTAGAAGAAGTCTGGCAAGGCCTAGGTTTGAGCCCTGGCCCTCACACTTCTTGTGTCACGTGGGGTCCAGGCACCACCCTTCCTGAGCCTTGGTTTCTCCAGCTGTCAAGTACAGCAGTACCCCCGACCTCACAGGGCTTTTGTGAGAAGGGGAGCCGGAATCACCCCAGAGCTGTGTTCTGGCCGAAGACCTGATTCTCCCCACCCACTCATTTAGCCCAGGGATTCTTCACAGAGGGTCCAGGAACTTTGTTGTTTTCTTTTAGTATTTTAATAACCATTTCAACAGCATGGTTCTGAGAAGGGCCCCACCGCCTTCACCAGACAGCCCAAGGCATCCAGGACACACACGCTATTTAGAAGCAGCTAAATTTTAGTGACCCTCAGTATTGTGCCAAGACCGCCCTGGTGGTTTTGAATCAGAATCCCTCAAGATTCTCTGACACTTGGAGGTGTGTGAAGCCCTTCTCGGGACAGCCCTGTGAAGGAGGTTGGGTGGGGTGGGGTGTGCTTTTACGCTCCCCAGCAGCCCCCGGGAGGTGGCCATCCAAGATGGTCACAGGCCTTGGGAGGGCCAGAGCTGGGACTCGACTCCGGGTGTGTTGTTTTTGCAGCTCTGTGGTGCCCTCTGGCCACATTACTGTGCTCTAAAGAAGACTGCTTCCTTATTATCTTCATTTGACAGAGGAGAAACTGAGGCTCAGAACAGTCAGATGGGAAGTCCATAGTCCTACAGGAGGGGAGTCAGAAGTTTGTGACAGTGACGGAAGTTCAGGGTGTCACCACCTCCCCTGCACGGGGAGGATGCAGAGTCAGGAGAAGTTGGAATCTTCCTTCCTTCCTCTTCCCCCAGCCACCTCCCCGCTTGGACATGGCCCGGATGGGGCCTGGGCAGTACAGGGAGGGGGAAGCTTTGCGATCAAAGCACCCGAGTTCCTATCACAGCTGGGCCATCAACTGTGGTGTGATCTCTGACAAGCCTCCTCACTTTGCTGGGCCTCAGTTTCTCCCGAGGGATAGACTCGTTAAGGCCTCTGAGCTCTTTGAGTCTGTGACTAAGCAGAGGCCCTCCGTCCTTGGCTCAGTCCTGACTTCCCTGTGTTTACTCTCCCTCCCTCCCCGATGGCCTTGTTTATTTAGATTGGTGCCTTCTCCCACAGCTTACCTGCGTTTTTCTGTTTGGGTTTAAGGCGGTCACATGGGCACTGTCTTGCAGGTGGCTTGGCTTCCAGTACTGTCTTTCCTCCATGAATGTTCTGGAAGACATCTGAAATACCCCCATTTCCCACCTCAAATTCAGGGGAAGGATGGCTGATAAAAGGATCCCGAGATTTGGAGCTGGAGGGCCCTCAGGGATCATCTATCCACTCATATTGCAGATGAGGAAACTGAGGCCTGCAGAGAGGAACTGGCCAAGTTTACACGGCACACATTTATGTGGCACCAGGGGTTTGTAGCTAGAAGGGACTTTAGGGCTCGCCCACTTCTTTCCTCACTGTGACCCCCGCCTCTGGCTTCCCTTCACACTGAACCACCCGTCTCCAGACTCTGGATGTCTGCGCTGGCTGCCTCCCAGGCCCAGCCTAAATCTCACTGTCTCTGAGAAGCCCATACTTCCAGGCCTTCTCTCTGTTGATTATTTCCAATGTAGCCCATGTAGAACTCGTTAGTATGTAGTTGTTTACATGCCGTCTCCCCCATTAGACCGGGAGCTCCTGGAGAGCCTTTCTTTGTAGCATGATGCCTGGCCCATAGTAGGTGCTTAATATTTGTTAAGCTTGCTGACTTGAATATAACTGTGCAGAAGGTAGTGTAGGTGTTAGCATCATCATTTTGCCTGTGAGGCACCAGAGAAGGGAAGGGAGAGCCTTCCCCAGAGCCGGGCTCCTTGGACCTTTGCTGGCTTGCAAAGCATTTCAACGAGGTTTAAAGGATCCATAGAAAGAATGAGGGAGTTTTTTGCCTGGTGAAGAGACAGCTGTCTAAGGGGGGCACAAGCACTGTCTTCAGTGGCTTAAAGGGTCACTAGGAGAAGATCATGTTTTTCAACATTAGGTTCTTTAAAATTCTTGAGTGAATATTGTGGGGACCTTGTGCTTTGTCCAAAAGTCATCAGTCAAATTCAAATTTAGTAAACATTTATTAAGTGCCTCTGATGTGGAAGGCATTGAGCTACCTGCAGAGGATACAAAATGAAAAGAATGGGGAGTCTAATAGGGGGGAGGGACACAGGAAGAGAAGCCGGCTGTGTGGTAGATGGGAGAAGCCAAGATAAGCTACTCTTAGAAACAGAGGAAAGAAGCCACTGGCAGTGGGAGGCAGCTGCTGAGCCGGGCCTTGGAGCAAAAGTAGACTTTGGGTGGGCAGAGATGACAGGGAATGCTTTCCAGACCTCGTGAAGGAATGGGCCGCCTGAAGCCCGGAGAGCATAGGATGAGACGGAGTTAGAGCTGGTCGTCGGCCAAGAGGGAGGCTGCTCTGAGGACCCCCAGAGACTGGGCCTTGAGGAGCTGCCTCCGCCCAGATGGCACCCCAGCCACCTTCCCTTCCACTGCCTGCCCGTAGACAATGATCAAACCAGCTCTCCCTCATTTCTGGAAGTGGGGCATCACCGGCCTGTCCCACTGATTGCTCAGCATCCCCCGGGCTTTCCAGAACCAAACGACCCTTCCTTGGACACCCCTCTCCTGCTGGGGGGGGAGGGGAAGAAGCTTTAATATAGCACCTGCTGTATACCGGGCATTGATCTCATTTGATCTTCCCTGAGAGATAGGTGTTGTTATTCTTATCTGACCATTTTAGATGAGTAATCTGAGGCAGACAGGTAAAGTAACTCGCTATGTCACACAGCTCATAAGTATCTGAGGCTGGATTTGAACTCAGGTCTGCCTGACTCCAGGCTCTATTGACTGTGCCTCTTGTAGAACATCAGCTTCTTCAGGGCCTGGTCTTTGGAGAGCCTTGTAACTAACTGCTTTGTAGTTGGTCTCCAGCCCTTTAGTTTCTTTCTGACTGCTTGGATCCAGCCTTCACACAGCTCCCCAGTTTTCCTGATTCACTGCTCTCACCTTATTATCCCCGGCCCAGATGCCCATCAGGGTTGACTGGTGGCAGAGAATGGGGACTCCTTGGCCAAGCCCTTGAGGCCACGACCTATCTTTCTAGCCTCTGTACGTCTGTCCCCAGTGCAGAGGAATGGAGCTGTCCTGGAACAAACACTTAACACGCTTTCTCATTTATTCACTTGCCCATTCATGATGTAGGGTAGACTTGGGCTCTTAGCCTGGAAGTAATGGGGGAAGGTGCAGAGAGGAACCTTTCTCCCTACTGCATTAAGCTGAGAATCTGCCTGATGATCATGGCTCTTCCAGAGTGGGAGAGGAGTGTGGGGCTTAGCTGATGCCTCGTCACTGGAGGTTTTCGGACAAGCACTGGGTGGCCATGAGTTACTGGGGGCTGTTGTTAATGGGATTCCTGTGCAGGTATATGTGGGCCATACGTTAGCTTGAGCTCCTTTCCAGCTGAGATTCTGTACTTCTTCATATACATGGAAGAGTGGACAAGACCCATGGAAAAGCCCCTTCCTCTTTCTGGGCATCAGTTTTTACATCCATCATTTGAAGGGGATTTAGAATTGGAAGGATTAATATATCAGATTGAGACTTGGAAGGAACTTTGGATTCTGTGATGTTGGGGGTATTGCTCAACATTGCCTGGGACTCTACTTCTTGGAATAGAAATGGGAGCATAGTACCCAACCGCACCAGTGGGAGGAAGGGGAAAGGGTGTTGATGAGACAGCATCTCTCCCTGTCCCCCAGTGCCAAGACGGACCCAAGGGGGAAGAGCCAGGGTGAGGGCATGGATAAAAGTGACATCACTGACCTTCACATTGACATGCCTGCCTGCTGCCCCTGGAATGCCTCTTTGCAGAAAGTTTATGGTCCCTCTGGCCTTCAGCACCCTCTGTGGGAAGGGAACAGAGGTCACTTTTCAGTGAAAATGCACTCGATTTGCAGTGTGGAGCCTTGGGTTCAAATTCAGCCCCATCTGGCTGTGTGATCATGGCCAAGCTAATCCACCTTATTAAGCTAGCAGTTTCCCCATCCTTAAAATGGAAAAATAAAACTTGCACCCCCCATATCGGAGTGTGAGTGTGGCTATCAAAGAAGATAGTAGAGAAAAGATATCTTAGAAGTCCTGAGCCACTCTTGTCGATGTCTGTTATTATTTTACCTCCTCTCCTATTGCAGGGAGGTTAGGCCGCTCAGTTTTGGAGACGAGAATTTGGACTTTATAGTCTGCATCAAGGAGAAGACGGGGATTGTATTTTTCTCTAGTTTGGTAGACTTTAACAATCCCAGATCTCTTCCTCTGACCATAAATGCCTCCTTAAGCAGTAAGGAGGAGATTGGTAAACCACGACTTCCCTTTAATCTCTTAAGTTGTTGGGCCACCTGGAAGCTGAGTCTAAAATTCTAATGTAGAAAAATAACCCATCCCGTTGCCTCACATCTAGACCATTCTTCCCTTCCCACCTTGGCCTCTCTCTGATATCTTCCTCTCACCCAGGGCTGCCTTGTTCTCTTCTTTGTGATGCCACAACTCTTATCTCTCTCTGAAAACTGAAAGCTGGGGGCATAACTAGCCCCAGGATCCTAGCTTGAAAAGCTGGTCCTGGAGACAGAGGCTGATATTGGGCCAAATCCCTCAACAAAGCAGTTGGAAGAAAGGCAGGGAGGGCAAGAGAACCAGCCCTTCTGGGCAGCGGCACAGACTCTTCAACCTGTCAGTCAAGGACCTGGGGATCCTGCTGGCTGGAGCCATACCAGCAGAGGCTGGGTGACCACTTGTTGGAGGTGTAGTAGCAAGGCTGCTCTGTCAGATGGGCTGGGGGAGAGAGGGCCTCTGAGCTCCCTTCCCAGCTCTCTTGGCCCCGAGCCCAGTGCTTTTGCTAGCATCTGGATAGGCTAGCTTACTTGGTGACTTCAGGCAAACCTGTTCCCCTTTCTGAGTACTTGTTTTCCCAGTCATTTGAGAAGGTGAGACTCAATGTCTTATCTCACCTAATCTCATGAGTCTTTACTTTGGCTAGGCCATCCTTTTACACCTCACTAATTTTTGAAGTGAGTCTTGTAAACCTTTTCATCCTCTTTAAATCTTCCACGGGGCCACCCCGCCCCCACCTGCCCTCACCCTGTAGATGAGAAGCTCATCTCATACTTCACTTCAAAAATGGAGACCAGCAGCTGGGAAAGACTTGGCTATTCTGACCAACTGCAAAGATCCAGAACAATTCCAAAGGACCCGTGGTGAAAAACTGATGAACTCTGAATGTTCACTCTGAAAGAAGACTTTGTAAACTTTTCTTTTTCTTTTTTTTGGTCCATATTTTCATTTGCAATGCAGCTAATATGGACGTATGTTTTGCATAACTTCACAGGTGTCATTGATATCATACTGCTTGCCTTCTCAAGGGGTGGAAGGGGGTGGGAGGGAGGAAGATCATTTGGAACTCAACATTTTAAAAAATGAATGTTAAAATTTTTGAAAATGTAATTGGGAAAAATTTAACAAAATGAGAATATATCAGAATAAAAAAAATACAAAATTGAGGCCATTCTGTTTTTGGCTCCTACAAACCAGAGCTTCCAGAGCTTACATCACTCAGATGCCTTGTGCTTCCCTTTTCTACTTCACACTTGTCTCACGTGAAGATGTGGCCCATCTTCTGGTCAAAGCAAACCCCTCTTCATGCCTAAGTGGGACCATTACATTCTGTCTTCTGCAGCAGATTGTTCTCTCTGTCCTCCCCACTCTCATTAATCTTCACTCTCCCTGTCTATTGGCTACTTCTCTGCTGCCTACAGACATTGCCTGTGTCTCCTTCATCCTCTGGTAAACCCTTTCTTGATCTGTTTATCTCCCTCCAGATCACCCCTTCTCTCCTCCCTTTGGTGGCTAAACTTCTTGGAAAGGTTGTCCACAATCGGTGCTTCCACTCCCTTTCCTCTCACTTTCTTTTGGCTTCCAATCTCATCATTCCAATGAAAGTGCCATCTCCAAAGTCATCAACAGAAATCTCTTAAATGTCAACCCTCACCTTTCCTGATCTCTCTACAGCCTTTGACACTGTCAGTCATTCTGCTTCTTGATGTTTTCTTTCTCTAGGTTTTCATGACACTGCTTCCGCCTGGTTCTTCTCTTCCCTGTGTGACTTTTTTCCTCCTTTCCCTTTTTTCCTTTGTTAGAGTCTGGCCCAGGACTCTGGCCTGGACCCTCTTTTCTCTGTACTATTTCACTTGGTGACCTCATCCCGTGGATTCAATTCTCATCTCTATGCAGATAATTCAGATCTGCTTGTCTGACTCTAACCTCTCCTGACTTCCAGTCTTACATCTCCAATTGCCTATTGGATGTCTCGAACTGGATGCCCAATAGCTGTGTTTTCAAAAAAATTTTGTTTATATACAGGTTTTTTTTTTTAAACATCACCATAGTTTCCCTCCTCCCAGAGTCATTTTGTATAACAAATAGTATTTTCAAGACCAAAAAAGAAGAAAATGAGAGGAAAAAAATCTAAATAACTCATTAATATATTGAAAAAGTCTCAAAGTATGTGCAATGTGCAGTGTTCTCATTGATGTCTTAAACTCAACCTGCCTAAAACTGAAGTCATCTCTCTCCTCTTCCCGGACTCCCTCTTCCTGACTTTCCTGTTATTGGCAAGGGCGCCGTTATCTTCACAGTCCTTCAGGTTGGCAACACAGCAGTCATCCTGCACTCCTCCCTCTTTCTCACCCCAATTCTAATCATTGTCCTGTCCTGTCAATTCTACCTGTGCAACATCTCAAATATGCCTTTTCTCTTCTCTGACACTGCCGCTACCTTGGCACAGGCCGTCATCCCGTCACACCTGGATTGTTGCGGTAAACTGCTGGTCCATCTACCTGCTCCAGCCTGTCTTCCATTCAGCTGCCAAAGTGATATTCCATTTCACCTCCCCCCACCCCAATCTCCAATCACCTCTGGGGTCAAATACAAGATCCTCGGTTTGCTGTTCAAAGCCACGTACAACCTAGCCTCTCCTACTTTTCTGGTCTCCTTATACCTTACTCGTTTCCACACGCTCTGTGATTCCAACAACAGTGGCCCCCTGCCTGTTCCTCATGGCCCTGGGCTCTAGTCTCTCTATGACAACTTCTGTGTGACGTTGGACAAGACAGCTTGACTCTTAGAAAGTGAGAGCTGGGAAAAAACTTAGAACATAGAAAATGGTTCCAATTCAGACACCTTGGAACAGTAATATCTAAGTTGGAAGGGAGCAGAGCACATAGACTATGGAATGTCAGAGCTGGGAGGTACTTTAGACATCATTTAATGTAACCTTTCCCTTTACAAGTTAGAAAGCTGGTTAGTGTTGATGGGTTGAAAATGTCTTTTCCAGATGATTAATAGCAGAACATGAAGGAGGGCCTAGGTCCCTCCAGTCCAGGGCTCTTTCCACCTTAGAACTGAAACTCCCTCTGCCTTCCAGCCTCCTTGGCAGTGTTCTCTCCCCCCACCCCCCACCTCCCAAACGGTGAATCCACAGCAGCAAATTACCTTAGAAAACCACAGATTAACACTGTCTACCTTGTATTGTCCTTTTTGTTTATTTTGTTAAACTTTTCCCAGTGACATTTTAATCTCATTGGGCCCCAGGCTTCAAATTTGACACTTCTGAATTAGGGGATCTCTGAGGTTCCTTCAAGATCTTTTCTTCTTTAATTCAGTTAACTAAAGAGTTTTTTTTAAAATGTGATTTGATCGCCATTTATTCTGAATATTGAACTTGGGAGTCAGGAGACCTGCTTCTCTCCCTGGTACTGCTGCAAACTGACTGTGTGATCATGAACAAGTCACTGCACATGCAGTGTGAGGGGCTTGAAGTATTTTTCTGAATGGAGGAGATCTGCTTGAAAGGGGCATGATACCTAGATTCAAATTCCCTCAAATTACTCCTAAGAAGCCACCGAGGCAGTGTGGCCAAGTTGGGGGTGCAGCCCAAGCCCTGCTGACTCTCCAGAACTTATTTGCTACACAACTAAACCTTAGCAGATCCCCTTAGGAGTGGAAAAGAGCAGCCTCCTTGCTTTTTCGCCCCCCAAAGGGGTCATAGTCAGGGAATGGGATGGCCAGGTGGGTTGTCTCCTCCTTTGACCGAAGTAGAGACCTTCATAGGCTTCAGATAAAGAAACAGGCTCAGAAGAGACATAATGAATGACTTGTCCAAGGTAATAGTGTTAGAATATAGAACATAGACTTTTAGAGCTACCTCCCCCAACCATTTCCCGTGCACATTTTGCAGGTGAGGAAAATGAGATTCGGTGAGGGTAACGAATTTTGCACAAGGTCACAGTCCTAGTTAGTGGATAAATCCTCAGGACTGGGAGCCTCTGCTGCCTTATGCTAAATACATTATTCCCTTTTTCACTCCACCGTGCTGTCTTCCTTCAAGAAACACGGAATGGCAGAGCCTCTTAGGCTTTAGAGAATGCCTAGTCTCTCCTACTAGGTACGGTAAAAAGCCCAGAGAGAGGGGGATGGAAATGGCCAATTTTAAGAGGAGACTCAGGCAGAAAACCCAGATCCTCTGAGTTCCAGTCCAGTTCTGTCCCTGAATCATACCTAGACTGGGAAGGCGGGGCAGTGTGGTCTGGGAGGCTGGAGCCATTGGGAGGGGCTCCGTCTGGACAATGAACCCTGCATGTGAGCTCCCTGGTTTCTAGCACGGACAGCAGACCCCAAGCCTCACTGTCCAGAAATGGAGAGCCCCCCTCCCCAATCTTGACCGTGCCTCCTGTTTGTAGTGCAGCACCCAGAAGCTGCCTTCTCCCTCACAGGGAAAATGGAATTCATTTACCTGGATTGGAGCTGGAGGAGGCAACAGACAGTGGCAGCAGCAGCAGCAGCAGAGAGAAGACTGGGGCTCTCATTTTGCTGCTGGTCCTACTGAGTCTTGGATCCAGCGGGTGGGAGTTGGGTCCCGGATGGAGAGGAAGCTGGCTCAGGTGTGGGTTAATAGGTGAGGTGGCCTGCTCTTTAATCCTGGGCAAGGCTTCCCATTGGAGGAGCAGGTTGGCTTGGAGGGTGGTATGAAGTTGATATTCAGGTCACAGGTGAGACCATGTGCTTTACGGGAACCTAGGAAGCAAAAGTGATTAAACAAAGGAAAGAAAACAACATTAAGAGCTCAGGCAAGTGACAGCTTGGTGGCAGCCTGAGCCTCCCAGAGGGTTCCCGCTCCTCTCCTCTCATGGGTGGACCAGACTTTTTCCCTCCACTCCCCATTTCATTGTTGTGGTCACAGACCAACGCCTTTCCCCAGCTGGATGGCCAACAGAGGAGACTGGGCATCTCTTCCCTGCCTGTGCCCCTGTTGGGAGCCCCTTCAGATGGAGGGAATCCTTTGTGTGAGCCTGGGGACGATGGCCTAATGTGCTTTGCTGTTCTGTTGGCACTTCAGACCTGACATGTCCAAATGGGGCCCATCTTCCCACCCAGACTCACTTCCCCAAAGTTTGGGTCATGGCCTTTACCAACCTCCGACCTGCCATAACCCCCAAATGATTAGAGAGAGAGACAGGGGCCCAGACTTGGAGGCAGGAAAATCTGGTTTCCAATCCTGCCCCAGACCTTGGGCAATGACTCAACCTCTCTGGTCCTCAGTTTCCCTATCTATAAAAACTAGAGGTTGAACATGACGGTCTTCAAGGTCCAGCTCTAAATCTGTGGTCTTATGGTCCGAAACAGCCTCTTTCCTTGACCTCACTTATTCAGGCAGTTGCCAAATCTTGTTCCCGCCTTCAGAATGTTTCTTAAATTCCTTCCTTCTTTCTACACACTCATTGCCCTTGCTGGGGCCCTTCTTATCTCTCCCCTGGACTGTTGTAGCTATTACAGCCACCTGCTTGGGGTCACTGCTTCAAGTTTCTCCCTCCAATCTATCTTTCACTGAAGTGCCACAATCACTTTTTTTTTTTGGTGAGGCAATTGGGGTTAAGTGACTTGCCCAGGGTCACAAGCTAGTAAGCATCAAGTGTATGAGGTTGGATTTGAACTCAGGTCTTCTGACTCCAAGGCCAGAGCTCTGTCTACTGTGCCATTTAGCTGCCCCTCACAATCACCTTCTTCAGACACAGGCCAGTCAACCTGTGCCAGGTGCCGTGTTATTCCCCTACTCAAGAATCTTCAGTGGCTACCTATTACCTCTGGGATAAAATCTGAACTCTGTGGCTTGTCATTTAAAGCCCTTCCCAGGCCTGCTCCAACCTGTTCTTTGGCCTTATGTCATAGACCTCTTCCTTTTCATAGACTTGAGGGACCCGACTAGCTTACTATGCTGTCCTTCAGACCTGACATTCCACTTCCTGCCTCCTTGTGTTGACTGCTCACAGTGTTCTCCCTCTACGTCTCTGTTTCTCAGCATCTTGATCCTCTGTCAAGGCTGTGAGCCAGTCAGGGGCTCCCCAAACCATTTTGAGCCTCCCCAGTCACCTGAGAAAGGCCTGAAACCTGGATCAGCCAATCAGGAGAAAGATTTTGGCCCACTCTGAGCTTAAGCTACCATAATGCCTTGCCTGCTCTGGCATAACAGACATGCTTTGCTTTGTTCTGTGAGTGAACCCAAAATGCCCCCTCCTGTGTCAGCAACTACAAGGCCGGATGAAGCTGACTGGAAGCATTCTTCTGTTTATGACTGTCCAGGGTAAGACGCCTTGAACCAGACACTATCTTGAATAGTGGGGCTTTTCTTACATTTTCTTATGTTATCCTATGCCATGTTAATGATAAAAACAAAAAACAAGAAGCACAGACATCCTGGATCTATAATTTCAAAAGACACTTTGATATTTCTCTTATCTTATTGTATTTACAATCTATCCTGTTAAGAATATTCCTTTCTCATATTATGGTTAACACATATGGAGACTATAGTTTTGGTTGACACAGGCATCCTGAGTTGGGACTGCTCAAGTGTATAAAGGGTTTCCCTCAGCTTATTTACCTCTGAGTTCAGAATGATGTTCTGACTCCATCGTGCATGATTCTCTGGCTTAATGAGAATAAATAAGTGGGTTATAACCAGCGTATAGCCTGATTTTGGTTGTTCTTTGGCCAAACCTGTGGTTAAGGGGGAAACTGATTCAGTTTGTTTCTTTTGACCAAACCTTTGGTAGGTGGTTGACAGGGCTCAACTCACTAGCCACCTCTTCCAATTGTTATTCCTTTCCTCTTCAAATTACTCACAGATTTACTTATCTCTGTGTAAGGGCTTGGTCAGGTGTCATCAGTGGAGGATGAAGTGATTGGCTTGGGCTGCTGTGGATCAACTTGAAATGAGTTGGTTGGGTGGACTATATATAAAAATGAGGATCACCTTAAGAGCTAGCCTCTCCCCCTTTTCGAGAAAACACTGGGGAAGCAGCAGATCTGCAATTAGCCTATGCCTCAGGGATGAGGATGGCTGGGAGGCTGCGCCTGTAAACAGTCTCTGATCACCACCCTGGGAGCCGGTAATGGTTGACCTGAGGCTGTGGCAAATGGCAGTTTCCGGTGCCTTCACTCTCTCAGCCCAAGAAGGGAGGTCTTGAATTCTGGATGAGGGCAGGGCTGAGGAGAGATTTTCTAGAGAATTTTTCATTCCTGTGCAGTACTAGCTTCCTGGTATTGTCCCTGGGAATCCAGGAATCCAGTCTCCCGGAAAGAAAGGGGAGTTCCCAGGGAAGATCAGCCTTTCGGATCACACACACCCTCCTCCACCCACTGGAGGTCAATGGGGGTCATTTCTCTGCCCAAGAAGCTTCAGGGGCTCTCTCGTTTCTGTTTATGGTTTGCCTCCAGCCTGTCTCCTCGGCTACCTTATTCCTCACACACTTTGGGCCAGGGGTTCTTCGCCTTTGTGGTTCCTGGAGCCCTTTGGCAATCATTCTGGTGAAGTCTGTGGACCCTGTCTCAGAATCATGTCTTTAAATGCAAAATATAAACTATAGGGTTCCCAAGGAAACCCATGATCATGGAAAATACAAAACAAATTCTCAAACCAATTGAGATTCCTTACCCTGCACTATCTCCACATAAGCCTGCTTGAGGCCCTTTCCATGTGACTCCACCCCATTCTGCACAGGCTGTCCCATCCACTTCACAAATACTTCTTGGAATCTCAGCTCCTCTCAACATCACACCCTTCTGAGGCCTCTCCTGGTCCCCTCCCCCGTGCCCCCAAATGTGCATTTTCTAGTATACATCCTGCATTCATTTCTCTGTGAATGTGTTGTACCCCCCCCCCCTCCAGGAGAATGCAAGCTCCTTGTGTGCAGGACTCGATCACTTTTGTGTTTGGGTCCCGGGTCCCTGGCATGTAGAAAGCATTTAATAAAACCTCGATGACTGGTTGAAGGGCCCTCAGAGACTGAGGTAAGAGCCCCTGCTCTTACCATGAGTCATTTGGACCTTGCAGATGTCATGGGATGGGAGCTGCCTCTTTACTTGCTCTAAGGCTGGAAGTCTTACCAGGTCCCTGAGGGTAAAGTGGGGTTCACAAGCCTTTGGGGAGGTAGCCTCCTCAGCAGCCTTTCTGAGGGGAATTTGCACAATAGCGTATTACCCTGAGTCTGGGGGCCTGTGATGGGCCTGGGTAGAAGACAGGACTCACTGAGTCCTTGAGATGGAGGAGGATTGATTTGATTGTCTTTCAGGGGGTTTCTGCCTTGTTTGTGTAGGTGGGATGAAATCAAGGATTATCTTATATCTGCCCAGAAGCAGGACCCTATGTAGTGTGGCCACACCTGTGGGGGCTTATGGTACATGTCACATTTCTAAGTTCTGGGGTTCCTTATCTCTCAGGCACACTAACAAATTGGATTCTTCAAGGGCACAGCTGCCTGTAGACTCTGCTCGTCCTTGTTCTACTTCCCATCCTCCCTGGTAAGCCAGGTTCCCAGGACAAAGTCGTCCCCTGAGGGGCTGGGGTGGCTTTCTAAGGCTTTCAGCCCAACCCTTTATTCTGATGTATTTTCTCCCCAAATAATTGCCAGTGATTGGTGATGAGATGTTGTTTGTCCTTCATTCTTGAAGAGGACCCTGATATCAGGGAGGTGACACCAGGACACGAAAGTGAATTGGATTTAGGTGAGGGAGGGCTGTGCAAAGGGAGCCATTTGGGTCCAATGGTGAGAGCAGGACTACTGGGGATGGCCCTAGATGCAGTGAAAGATCTTGGTCTTTTAAAGCTAAGTGATGAGTCATTTAGCCAATTCCCACCAATTAGCATTTACAAAAGGAAACACATTCCTATAGCCCGAATCAACTCCAGGAGCCTCTATTTTAAGTCCACTCTTGTTGGCAAGTTGGGTTCCTAGGAACAATCTGTAAGGGTTTTAGAGGTTCTAGGGGTTCTAAAAGGCACAGCTCTGATGCCAACACTCTCTTAGTTCAGGTTCTGTTTGGGGATGAAATGAGGCCCTCATAAATCAGTAAACATTTACGAAAGGAGGTTGACTTTGCCCTAACATAGCAAGGACACACACAACAACAGCCCAGTAGTACCAAGGGCCTCTGGAGGCAGCCCTCCCTCTCCCTTGTCTCCTTATGGAAATGTCTCTGGCCCACAGGTCATCAAGGAACAGAGACTCACATGGTTGTAGGCAGAGATGTCAAATTCAAATGGAAATGAAGCAGGCCACTAAAATGCATGTAAGGATCCCTGTGAGCCTCGTATTGACTCAGAAAACCACATGTTAATATTATCTGTTTGATTATATTTTTATTTTTTAAAAAACAGTTCCCAGATTTTAATTTTAATGTTCAATTCCAAATTCTTTCCCTCCCTTCGCCCCCTGACCCACCCATTGAGAAAGCAAGAAATATGATCCCCATTATACATACAAAATCACGCCAAACATATTTCCACATTAGCCATGTCACAGGGGAAAAAAAAGCAAGAAAAATAAAGAAAATTTAAAAAATATGCTTCAGCCTGCACTTGGAGTTTATTATTTTTTTTCTGGAGGCAGAGAGCATTTTTCATCATGAGACCTTTGGAATTGTCTTGGATCATTGCATCCCCCAGAGGGCTAAGTCTTTCATTGTTGGTCATTGTTTCAATATCACTTTTACCACTATAATGTTCT